AATTGTAACTCTGTTTAATGTTATTTGTGGCTTTTATTGGCAACATTTTTGTACCTTTACTACATAATTATAACAAAAAAACAAGATCATCAGTATCCCTAAATAGACATAAAAATGTCAAATGTCAAAAAACAACTGTCAAAACTTTTTGACAGAAAGAATTTTTTAAACATTTTTTCCATGTTCCTGATACTTGAAATTTTTCTCTGGAGCGCGAGTTCCCACACACCCTGTATGTGAGTTGTAAGATATGATATGACTAAAATAGTTTGTCAAATTTTGCTAAACAATACATAGTGATTCAGTTAATATGACTCAAAGTAAAAGCAATATTTTTGTTTGATTTATCGTTAGCGGAGATATAAAAGTCCGCAAAAAAGTTTTACAACAGCGACCTAAGCAAATAAAATTTGTAAAACGAGTCATTTCTTAGTCATAATATTTTATAATGGGCCTTTTCTTTGGTTTTACGTGCGTACTACGAAAGCACACTAAGTGGTTCGCCCACAATATGTTCAACATATGTTGAAATACTGTATTCTTTGAATTTTATTTTGAAAATAAACTGCACTTGAATTAAAAACTTTGCCATATTTAAATCAAACCAAAAATAAGAAAATAGTCAAGTTACAAATATTTTATCCCAAATTATTGGTTTCAAGATAAGATTAAGTACATTTTGGTGTTACTAATTTTTGCAAGAATTTCCTTTATCTCCTTTACAGCGGTGGAATTTTCATCTAGCATAACAGAAGCTTTGAAGTAACTTTTTGATGTAAAATATTCCTGAAAGCTAATTAAAAATCTCAATATTGGCCTCAAGGCAGGCTACTCGGACTATCTTATGAAATCTGAAAAAATTATACGGTGTACAAACTCGCATATGCGTCCAAGAATTCCCGTTATTTTTAAGAAATATTTAATAACAGCAGTAAGAAGAGTTAAAAATTATTATCATAACGGTGTGTTCACCGATACATCCACAAAGAGAGCTTCCGTTTGTTTACTTCTCATATTTTGATGTGATAATGTCTGAAAAGGTCGAGTTAAAGCTCGACCCACCGACCTAACTCACATTCTCGAAAGATGACCTGCTGTAATCTTGTCGACAATCCCTCTAGCTACATCTCAGATTACAAAAACTCATCCATCCGAAGACTGGACGGAATCACGTTGTACAAATAAAATTTACAAAAGTCGCTCGTAAAACCGCTTTGTTTACAGCCAAAAACAGGTATTTCTGTAAATATTACACCTAAATAATAGTCGAGACTGAAAAATGTGCAACGAGTCTGTTGGTGTGTTATGCATGATTCATGCATGTCCGACAACTTAATTGCAACAACGGTTTATCTGCACATGAAATAAATAGTTTATCTCGTGATTCTGTTTGCATGCTAATCGGTGCTCGGATGGGTTCACACGATGATGGTTGACACTACACAAAAACTTGAACTTATAAAATTGAGCACCTATACATCGTTGTAACAATAACAACAAAAGAACTATATTTAAATTTACAATAATTACAGTAATTAAATAAAATTTCATTAAAAGTTTTTGATGATTCATCTTGAGATTAGGAAAGAAATGATTGCCAACTGTTTGTAATAAAGCAGAGAAGAACAAAAATTGACAGGTTTGCAAGGCCTATAAAGGTAATATATGTTAAAAAAATGGCAGGATATTAAAAACACCATAACGGGGAAAACCTGAACGGAAATGTTGAAAGAAAAATCGAGGAGAAGGAAGTGATAAAAGAAAGCCAACTGGTAATACTAATCGTAATTAATGACTTAAATAATTTGCCAAAAATAAAGAAACAACATAGCGATAATGAAATAAAATGTACAACAAAATATAGACTACTAGAGAAAAAATGTTCTAATATTTTGAAAGTTCCAAAATTGCAGTATTTATCAAATAAAAAATATATAGTCAAATTTTAATTGAGTTTTTCTCAAAATACACGAAACTTTCGCAAACCAATGTTACATAATAAACAGAAACAATCTGATAACGTTCAATATCTATATCTATCAACTTACATATTGATTATTTACCAAACACTCAAAAACAAATTGCCAAGTTCAAAGATCTTAAAATAAATATCATTGCACACACTGAGCAAATATAGGCAGATATACTTAAAATAGTTGACTCTCTGATATAATCGGAAATGGAGCACCTCTTTTCAAATATTTTCATTTATCTAAAAAATTCCAATCTTCGTCATTCTTTAAACATTCGACTTTTAACACGAAACGTTCATAAAATGAAATCCAGGTAAAAAAACTGCACCCTTCGGAAGAGATCTCATCATAAAAAAACACTTTTTGAACGGAACGTCACACCCACTTGTAGGTCTATATTTAAAATGAAATGCCTTCCAGATCGAGAATATTAATTTAAAAACACGTTCGTAGCATTTCAAGTGAATCATACTGTTTTATATGCAATGCAAATAAAATTGTACTTATATTATTGTGTTAAAATGTATGTTAGTGTTAAAATGACAACTGTATTATGGGTGTGTTAAAAGTTAAAACGAATATTTTCGTGGTCTAGTCGAGCGTTCAAGTCTCAGAGAAAACATCGATCATTGCCTTGTTTAATTTGGATTCGTGTTAATAAACTTTAAGAAAGTATCACTGTCGACTCTGTCATTTAAATAATAATGAACTGCACCTATACACTTTAAAAAACGAAAATAGGAGAAACCGACTTGAATTTCTGTCTAGATAGTCTTACACAATTCTCATTTTGCAATGTTTTTGCATACACAAAAAAAATGCATTATTCATACACACAGTCTGGAACATCAAAATTATTGTTACGTCATTCAAACAAAATCAAATATCCGCATCCTAGTAACACAATAATTTAGTTTTCACAATGTCTAAGAAAATGTAAAGTGAGCATTGTTTTCAAAACATCTAAGAAGTTCTCAATCTCAAGTATTTAATGCTTTTAAAAAGTATCTGGCCATAAAACTTTGCAAAAAGAATTTCAAAGTGTATAGAAATCGTGCTAAATTCCTCATATTTAGTTTAGACCTGATTCATTAAGTTCCATAGAAAGTTTTAAACCGAATAAGAACAATACCCGTTTAAGACTAGAATTTAATGCTTATTTAATGTATTAGTAAATATATACATAAACGACATTCTTCAAGAATATATAGATGCGTGGTACCTAAATAACCGTAATAACGAAACTATTCATATATAATTTGTTCTAATTAGGAATGGGAAGTTAAAACATAATATATTCATTGTATGCTACCGAATTTTTAAACCCATTCACACGTATATACATACTGAAACCCAGTTGGCCATGAAATTAAACTCCAAACTGGACTGTCATGTCAACGTTGTGTCACATTGTAAACAATTTCACCAAAAAATATAAATATTTTATTGATGAATAAACACACCTAATTAATTTTTTATACTTCAAAGATCCATGAAATATTGAGTTGGAGAAGCGCTATAACTGTTCCAAGAACGACTTTCTTAATTTTAACAGATACACCAGATAAATAGCAAAAATTCGTTTACCTAAATCAAATTTCGTGTAGTTCAATTCTGATTTTTTTCAGCTACATCTCATTTTAGGGTGTTTTAAGACGTTTCATACAGTAATTCAATTTGTTTAGATCAATATTTTAATTTTTATAAAATAATTTTTTGTCATCTAGCTGACATACAAACTTCCAAGCGACATACGTCCTCAACTAGTACGCCTACTTGATAGAAAGACTTTTTGATCGCACTGTATTAATAGCTATGATTTAAATTTAATAACAAAACATTGTCAACAAAGTTATTAACCCAGAAACTCTCATCAATAAACAATTGTGAATGCATTTATTTGTCATTGTAGTTACTTTTAAGGTAAATAAAGTTTTTTTAGGGTAATATCTGTGCTAAGTTGATTACAAATTGAGTCTAGTTATGGGTCGGTAATAAGTCCAGATTTGGTAAAAACTTGAAAATCACGAATTATTTAACAACTTTTAGAACAATTAATTAGTTTCAATTGTAATGTTCAGAGTAATTTGCGTATTTCTCTAACTCGAAGACAAAGTATTTAGAAATCTTATACACACATCTCGTAAAAAGCGATTCAATTATTTGTGAAATGTTAGTAAAACTACTTCACCTTCGAGTTTATGGGAAATGACGTCAACTGCGTTTTCCAATTTCACAATTTTTGCATACTGGTGTCAATTACTGAGTAATAAAAGACATCTCGGTCCACATTTAATTTATTGTGGAATCTTCCCAATTCTGCATTGTTTTTATGAATTGGCAAATAAAATTAATGACCTAGATAATATCACAAGCAGAAAACCAGATTCAGAGCGATAATACATTTAAATTAATTCCATCCGCGTCTCTAATAACCGGTAGACCTTTGACACGTCGAAACTCAAACAAGGTTCCGGACTCGAAAAAATCCCCGGAAAAATCCGGGAAAATTAATTGGCAAAGAAAAGGGGGCATTCCGGATGTCGTTGACCCATTCTCATCATATCCATCCTGACGTCATCGTCTGCAAACCAAAAGATAAACAACACTTTAGTCTCTGGTAGCCTCATAGACAGTGTCCTTGATTATTGGTATACTTTGCATAATAGCATCACAGCATGCTGTGCCAAGTTTCTTGACGTTGCCCTGCCTAAACGTCAGACTCCACACAGACTTCTTGATCGTGCTGACATACAAGAAACAAGAATTTGCCGCGCCTATTTTGCTGTTTTTATCCGCACTTGACAATAACAATTCCGGCATTGACTTTTTAATTACCCAAATTATAGCGCATTTATTTGATTTTTCATCAAATTTCACCGATTTTCAATCAGTGCCATCGAGGCCAACTAAGATCAGCCAACTTGAAAACATTTACCGAAACGGTAAACTAGACACAGGTTACCGGTGGATGGTTTATAACCGAAAATACGGTTTCAAAGACGATTCCATCCTAACAACACTTACCACTTATTACAAGTTATGTTGCCGTTTGTAATCCAAAAATTGTAACTCATAAAACACTCACAAAAACACAAAAAATACACTCGGAGTCACTTTATTAGTTCATAATATTGGAATATTTTATCATAATCGCGTAAAAATTATAATAACACTGCTTCGCCGCGTCTTCTTCCACGCTTGCGTTTCGTAGATTTAACTTGATTCAGCATCAACAGGTGGTACTACCAACCTAACAACAACAGCTAATTTGCATTTTGTTTTCTTATATTGGTGACACTTAAGTTGTACTTTTGTCCAATAGTTTTAAACAATCCGAATAACATCTAAATAAAACGTATAAATAACACGTTAATTCGTGTTACTACTTTAAAACATTATTTAAGTCAGATTATTTAAACGCTTTATTAGAAAACGCATTTGAATTCGACGGTTCTTTCAAAAGACAGTTTTGGATTTAATGCCTAGACGAGAATACAGAGTCTCGAGAATATACGCCTACGAGAATTTTGTAGCACTGTACGCCATCAGCAAAACATTATTGTCTTCTAAAACCATCTTACACTTGGTTATTACTGCAAGATCTGATAGAAACGAAATAACAAAATGTTTGTTAATGTAATGAAGAAAATTCGTGCGTGTAGATTCTCATAAGTCTGTATTCTCGACTGGGCAAAGACCCTCAGTTTTGACAAATGACAGTTGTTGAAACGTCAATGATAACCATAACGTTACATTAATAAAAACACAATTTTGGGAATATAAAAGGGTTTTTTATAGTTGTTTTTTCAAAATGATGAACCCTCAGCCTTATTATGGCATACAGAGTACTGCGGGTGCGGTTCCCGTTCGTAATGAAAAAGGTAAACTTATTCTCTTTACTAAAATGATGTCTTCTGAGCCGTTTCTCATTTTATTTTTAGGTGAAATTTCTATGCAAAAGGTGAAAGTGCACCGCTATGTGTCTGGAAAAAAGCCTGATTACGCCCAAGACGTGCGTTCCGACAGCGACAGTGACGATGATGATTTTCTGGAGCGTCGCAACCAGCCCCAACAACCCCCCACGCCGGAGCCCTCACACAGCGACGATGAATTGAATGATCCCCGTTTGCGTCGTTTGAAAATTGCTGAAGTGGAAACCGAAGTGAGACCCGAACGGCGACGTCACGTTGTAGAACCAGAAGTGTTGGAATCCTCTGATGAAGAATCTGAAAAGGAACAAATCAATTTACCTGAACATAAGCACACATTGGAGGCGGGTCCTGATGACGATGAATCCGAAGTGGAACTTAGTGATAGCGAAATCGAGAAACGGAGAGAAATGATGAAAAAAAGGATGCTGGAAAAGCAAGAAGAGGAGTTTATGGTGAAGGAAGAGGAAAAGTCCGAGTCGTCTGAAGAGTCGTCAGAGTATGAAGAATACACAGATTCGGAAGAAGAGACTGGTCCAAGGTTGAAACCGATTTTTGTAAGGAAGAAAGATAGGATAACGATAATAGAAAAAGAGAAAGAAGAACAGAAGCAGAAGCTACAAGAATTGGAAGCCGTCAGAAATGCTGAAGAAAGGAGGCGACAAACGTTACGACTTGTTGAAGAAACAATCAGAAAGGAGCAGCAAGCGAAAGATAAAGAAAACAATGAGCCAAACCTTAACGACGTTTGTACAGATGATGAAAACGACGAAATTGAATATGAAGCGTGGAAGTTAAGAGAGTTGAAAAGAATCAAAAGAGATCGCGAAGAACGTGAAGCTATAGAAAAAGAGCGACTTGAAATTGAAAGATTGAGAAACATGACGGAAGAAGAGAGAAGACTTGAATTGAGATTGAATCCCAAACAAGTAACAAACAAGGCCATCAAAGGGAAGTACAAGTTTTTGCAGAAATACTACCACCGTGGTGCATTCTATCTTGACAAGGAAGACGAAGTTTTCAAGAGAGATTTTGCACAAGCAACTTTGGAAGATCACTTTGATAAAACCATTCTGCCAAAAGTCATGCAAGTCAAGAATTTCGGACGGTCTGGAAGAACGAAATATACACATTTGGTTGATCAAGACACAACACATTTCGACTCACCTTGGTCAAGTGAAACTTCACAAAATCTCAAATTTCATACAACGCAAGCAGGGGGTGTTAAGCAAATTTTTGAGAAGCCCTCGTTGAAAAAAAGGAAAACAGAATAAACAGTTGGAATTTCTACTTGTAAATAATTACTAGGTTTTTTAGCAAAATAAGTTTTTTTATTTAATAACAAAACACAAAATTCTCACTTTTCACAGAGACTGTAAGCAATGTGTATATAAACTAAATTAACGTCAACGTAATGTATTGGTATTACACAAACGTTGAAAGCTCACCTCATTTAAAAAAAATTGTGATTTTAAATTAAATTGTTTTATGTTAACCATCTTTAGAAGCGGTAGTGAATGGTTAGTTAAAACAATTTTAATTTAAAAACAATTAATTTTTGGAATCAGAAGTTAATACTAACGAGCTTTAATAAAATTTTTCAAAAATGAACTTCAAAATTCAGTATCAATGTTAGTTAAATTAAATACTTTTTTGTAATTTAATAGTTTATGATATAAATTTTCTGTACACTTAACGAACTAATTTAACTAACACTGATGAAAAAAAGTTATAAATATCCACTACTTAAGAGCAGAAAATAGAATTTTTTAAACAATACCTATAAAGAAACTAAATCTTAAATATAAGCGCATAGTAACTATTCGTGCGTTAGAATTATAACTATAATTTTAAAGCACGAAGAGCAATTTTTGCAGCAGCCCTTTTTGCCATAATCTTGTTAGTTCCAAATCCATGTACTCGTTTCTTTCTACCTTCACACATAAAGTCTAAAGCAACCATAGTTTTTTTACTATCAAGTTCCAGCGGTTTACTGAAAAAATCTCGAAATAAATCATCACTCAAACAAGAGAAACAACTTACCTGAATTGCGGAGGATAAACAGTATGACACTCGTACAATCTCCTTATAACATTTTTTGGTACATTCTTACTAAAGAGATCAATTTCGCGCCACATAATCTTGTAAAACACTTTCCAAACAGTCTTCAAATCCTTATTGCTGTCTAAATAAATAGCACCAGCGAGAGCTTCAAAAATATCACCCAAAACTTTAGGCACATCGATATATTCGGCAATATTCATTTCTTCCTCTTCTAACAAAATCAAGACTTCGTCGTCAATCACATAATTCTTTGATGCAAGATACTCCGCAAACTTATCAATGTGACCTTGTAAATTTGAATTCATCATGAGCAAAAATTTGTGAAATCCGCATCGAACAACAAGGCTAGCAAAAGTGTTATTGTTGACAAGAGACGATCGTAAATCGGTCACCTGACCCGGTTCCAAATGCCCACAGTGTTCGTAGATATAACAAGTGATCAGAAAATCAAGGACGGCATCCCCTAGAAACTCCAAACGTTCGTAACTTTGCGTTATTCGATTTGGCGAATAGGAAGAATGAGTTAAAGCTTGTAGTAGAAATGCTCGGTTGTTGAACTGATAACCGAGACGTTGTTCGATTTCTCGCCATTGCGGTATGTGAAAATCAATGTCAATTTCATTGGACTTTTTACTAAGGACGGGATTTACTTGTGTCGTTTCTATCAGATGTTGAATTTGTTCAGAAAGGGGTAAAATTCCAATCCATTCCATGAATTTAATCCCTCCCTCAATCCCACCACTTAGAAAGTACGCCCCTAGGAGAGCTTCAACACAGTCCGCTATGGTTTTATCACCAACTAACTGTTTATTTAAAAAGTTGCACATATTGCCGTATGAATTTTCCTCATCTGGCGCATTTTCTTCAATTGTCATGTCGTTTAAAGTCTTTCGGTTTAAATTACCTGAGACTTGTTCTTCCGGCGATATGTAACAGTTAAATAACGTGTTTATGGAATATTCTTTATTTTTTATTGCCTTGCTGATAGTTTGTGGGATGCAAAAACATGGAGGAACCCAATCGTTTGGAGATAAGCAACTGTTTTTCAAAATCCCGCCAAGATTTTTCTTCACTCCCAAATAATACAAATTTTTGTTGCTGACTAGCTTTCCTTTAAGAGTGGTAGATTTGCCTTCATTGTAAGTCGGAAATTTGCAAATAATGTACAAGGAAGCTGTAAGTTTTAGGAAACAGTCGCCTAAGATTTCAAGACGTTCGAGATTGACTACATCGTTGGCTTCTGCTGCCGTCAATGCTTCATAAAACTGACATAAATTCGGGCTTTGATTGTCGAATTGTATTTCCAGAAGCCGCAACTGTTTCTCTTCGAATTGTTTATCATAAGTGATGGCTGGTAAAGCATTTTTAACTGGACTGTCGTTCTTCAGTAACCGTCCAGTTTTTGAAGGCTGATGGGAAATAAAAGTTTCATAATATTCTATATCCATAACAGTCACATCAATAACACGTTCTATGTCTTTGGGTTCTTCAATATTCTTCCAGTAGTACTCCGCCTCAAGCATTTTAGACGCAAAATCTTTATTGTATTGGATCGTTAGCAAGTTTTTCGGACATTCCAATGCAAGGCAATTATCAATCAAAGGTGTGGATTTTTCGGATTTCTCAGTCAGTTCCAGATCATTGGGTTCATAACGCAACAAATGGACGTTCAATTCCAACGACGGACAATTTTTCAAATACTCATCTTTTGCACCAATATCGCGAGCTATCCCAACTTGAAGTTGTTGCAATTTTAGCAGAAAAGCCAAACGTGACAAAATACTTGGTAAAAATCGTGCTTGAATCCACAAACACGATGGAAATTCTTGCTTGATAACCAACTCGGGTATTAAATATTCTTCCAACTCTTCATACATTTTTGTTTTCTTCCTCTTACCACCGGAACCTCGAGGTTTGAAAGCGTTCAGTTTCTCCGACAGGCCTTTAACCAAGAGGAGAGGCTGCGGAGGATCCAAGATTGTCAATGAATGTTTTTCGTCATAATACGAGACGAAATTGGGATACTCGTGATTCGGGAACGGACTTAGGGCACTCTTATCAGTACAAACTCTTGTCACAACGTACATCTAAAAATAGTACGTGTTATTCCAGGAAAGCGTTTCAATTAATGAAATCATTTACTCACCTTTGGCTGCGATCTGTACCACGGAGAGACAATTTTATGTAAATAAGTTTCATCATTTACATTCAAATTCATACGTTCTGTAGCAGCCGGTTCGTATTTATTTTTCAAAATTTTATGATCGCGAATTACTTGAAAATCAATCTGAACATCACCATTGTGATCTTGAACAGGAACAACAAGCAACATCTCCGAATTCTTCCCAATGTTGTCAAAAATTAAAAACTCTTTTAAGATCTCCAAAAGATTGTTGAATACCAAAAAATGAAATTCTCTCATTTCCTTTATTTCGTTAATTGCAAACGTCATTTCTTTAACATTGTTCTTTATATCAATTTCTAACGTTCCATTTGAATCGAATAGAGGAAATTTGCACAAATCGGGTAACGGTTTTGGTGATAACAAACCAAATTTTAATGGAGTTTTATACATGTCGTAAATAGTGGCTGCGTCCAAATTCTCACTTCTCTTGTATTGAGGATTTATACTAATAATGTGTAAATAGAGGACTCTGTCGGGCTGGATTGCCTGTTTTACACATAAGGCAATCTACAATAAAAATAGTATAACTTAAAAACTGAGATTTCTAGTTATTATTATTTGTGTTTGTAACATTGGAATAAAGCCGATCTCACCTCTTTATCATGTAGTCTTTTCTTTTTCTTATTTCCGGCATCACATTCCTTTTCTTGTGGCCAATGCTTGAAAAGATGCGAAACATCAGCTTCATCCAACTGCTTCTTCAGTGGTAATAAATTATTGTCAAGTTCTCCACATTGGTGTAGTTTTATGCACGCGACTAATGCGGCGGCCCTTTTGGCATCCTTTTTGTTCCACATGTAAGGTCCCTAAATTTCCAATTTTGTTTATAAGAGCTAAAATTGTAAACAATTTACTTACGACAATGGGTTCAATAATAGGACACACTGTGGGTAAAAAGATAAAAACTCTTAGTTTTGAAGAGTTAGAGTCTTTTTCAAAATACCACTCAGGGGCGTAAGTGGTGTATTTGTCACTTGCCAAATTATCACAGTAACGACATAAGAGAGCTACAGAGGAGGCCATGTTTACTTGTGCCGAATTGGGGCCATTTACATAGTAAGGTTCCAACTTGTCTTCATTATACATGTTGTTAATTTCAGACGCGTTTGGATGATCTCTTTCGGAATTCTTACCAATCAAAAGCTGAAAACGGGACACTTGTTTATTAAAATGCATGGTAACGAGGATTATCTTCAAGGTAACGTGGATTACAAATATGGACTTAAAATCAATGAAAATAAATACGACAAAAAATAGTATATTATAATACAGAGTGGTTACTCGTATAAATGATTTTCATCTAGCCAGCTTTGGAATTTTTTTGCATGTAACTTTATTTGTGCCGCTCTACTTTTTTGAAAGCTCTAGTTCTGTCATTAGTGTCACTTATTAATTAATAATAAATTGTTGTTAATTAAATTTTTATTGTTTCAACTAATTTCCAATAATAATTGATAATAATGTATATTTGGAAGAAAACAAGTTTATAATTGAAGTCTATTTTCGAAGTGGACGCTTAGTAAACGGCGATTTTTTAATTTTGAGTTACAACAAGTAGGTACCCCTATTTTCGTAAAGCGGCATTTTTTATTTTACATGGAAAATTCACAGCTGGCTAGATGAAAATCATTTATAACCACTATTGTACTATTTTATAAGCAAGCCTTTAAAACACGCACGACGGATTTAAGAGCACGACGCGTCAGCGGAGTGCTTTTAACGTCGTAAAACGAGTGTTATACGCTATTTTTTATTATACCTGCCCATTTACAATCTTTTATGAGCATTGAAAAAATGTGAATTCACACAATAAAATTATCAAAGGTTGTTTGTGAATCGTTTTCGTAGAGACGGTTACTAGTTTACGTCATTATGTACAGGGTGCTGCATTTTGGATGTCTGAATAGGGAATCTCCGAAACTAAGAGGTTTAGCCAAAAACGAGTAATACATTCTGGGGCTCATTTTTTGAGAAAATAATATTGTTGAAAACCGCATCCCGCTATCGTCTTTTGTTTTCGACTTATAAACAAAAATTGACATTTTAGCGAAATCTAAAAAAATTCATATCTTTGTTATTATAGAAGACACAGATTTGAAATAAAGACATTATACAGGCACTTTTTCACGTAGAATTTAATAATGTAGTTAACAATTTTTTTCAGTTGTTTGTTTAGCCGTAATAAAATAAACTTGTATTTTTTTAAATGGGAATCATAGATGGTTATGTCATTTTTAAAAAGCTTGTGTTTTTTCTTATCTAAAAAATATATATTTGTAACAAATTATTATAATACATTTTTAGCAAAAAATTATATTTGATTTTTGTTCGCAGCTGGCCATGAAAAAATGTTGCATCTTCAACCAAAAGGATTTAAACTATATTATATTCAACCAGTGTCACTAATGAAAGAGTTTTCTAAGTACTAAGTGATGAAAAAGATGCAAAATAAATTGTAAATCAACTTATTGGCGACTAATAACATTTCTTTGTTTTTAAACAAGCTAACATTATGATTGCAACTTCTAGTGATACATAGAGTGTTGTAAAAAAAGCCGCTTTAATTCTTCAATAAAATATATTTTATATGACACAAAAATGACGATATGGCCATTCAAATACCCAAATTCCGTCTATGTGAAACGTTATCCTAACTCCATTAGATCATGAAAAAAATGTTTTTTTCTAATTGTGTTGACTGTTGACAATTTGTTTTTCCTATTTTTGGATTTTTTAAAAATATGTAATAATTTTGTTCTGAGGCGCTCGGATATTTGTTCAATGCTTCTACCGTATCGTATTTTTTAAATCTTTATAATTTTATCTATTTTTTCATCTATTTTACAGTTCACAAAACTCTTATTGATTATTATTTACACATTTGGAGTGAAATAGTTTTTCCATGGCCAACTATTATCACACAAAATATGTATTTCACTTTTNACTTTTTAAGTATAGTTATAAAAAAATATTTTGTTACAAATTTATATTTTTTAGATCAGAAAAAAATAAGCTTTTCAAAATTGCCATAGCCGCCTATGATTTCCATTTAAAAAAATACAAGTTTATCTTATTACGGCTAAACTAATAACTGAAAAAAATTGTTAACTACATTATTAAATTCCTCGTAAAAAAGTGCCGGTATAATGTCTGTATTTCAAATCCGTATCTTCTATAATAACGAAGATATAAATTTTTTTAGATTTCGCCAAAATGTCAACTTTTGTCTGTAAGTCGTAAACAAAAGACGATAGCGGGGATGCGGTTTTAACCAATATTATTTTCTCAAAAAATGAGCCCCAGAATGTATTACTCGTTTTTGGCTAAACCTCTTAGTTTCGGAGATTCCCTATTCGGACATCCAAAATGCACCACCCTGTACATTTTTCGACGTTTGTAAAAATCAGTTCAGAAAATGAGTGAAGATATTAAAAGGCTAGCAGAACAAGCAGAACTGCGATTAATTCCGGAAACATCAAAATTTGCGTAGTGCAAGTACGTAGTGGCTAGTGGCGTAGTGGCTATATTGAAGAATCCACTTCAATCAAAATAGTTGTTTCCAAATGCATTGCTGGTGTTCTGAACACATCGGTTGCTGCATCAACTTCATCAAGAGCTATGAACGTCCAACAAAAGATAGAAAATGAAAAAGCTTCTACTAGTTATGAACGCCAGCTTAAAGCGGCGGGCTTTGAAATTTCAAACAATAGTAATTGTAATTTTAATATTTATTTCAATAAATAAAAATTGGTCCAGACATTTCACTATTTCTTGTTACCTAGACAACTTTAAAATTTCAGCGTGCGATAAAGGCCAAATTACTCACGCTGCAGCGTGTTTTAATTTAGGATTATGATGCAGGTATAATAAAAAAGATGAAAAAGTGATTAGTGATTACTCACATCATTAAGCAAACTCTCAACTTTGTTGAAATCGTCGTATTTCTTAGCAAACTTTTCCACTTCAGGCGTTTCTACAATGGTGTAATATAAACTTTTTTTATGCCTTGCGCGTCCTTTCGACTGTATGTACGAACGATAATCCTCGGATTTGTCAAACCTTACGACGAGAGTACATTTAGGTATATCTACACCTTCTTCCAAAACGTTCGAACTGACCAAAACATTGATTTCCTTGCTCACAAAAGTGTTGAGCACTTCTCGGTTCTTTTTTGCTATGAATAAATTCTCACGAGTGTCATTGTATGGATTATTTTTATTTCCAACGACGAAATTCGATTTAAGATGATAAAATTTTGGATCGACTTGACTAGTTTTGTCGATAATGTGGTGAAGAATTTTGGCGGTGAATCGTCTTTTGGTAAAGATTAAACAACAAAGTTCCTCGTCCGATTTCGTCTTGTATTCATCCAAAATTTCCAACAGTTTTAAAACTTTATCAGAGGAGAATTTTTTAATCTTGTCGAGTGTTCCATAACCGGTCATGGATTCTTGCAAGAGAAGTTTTGCAGCTCCCATCACCGTCAAGACGTAATTTAGCACAATAAAGAGTTGGTGGTTTTGACAGTGTTTTTTTATACGTTCAATTTGTATCATGTGAGCGACACAAGCAATATGACCGCCAAATGTACCCAGGATTTCAATATGATGGATTAAATCTAAAATCAAGTTTCTCAAACTTTTCAACACGTCGGATGGCTCCAGTGGTTTCAAAGTTTCCGTTTGTAATAAATTCACACTGTTTTGCTCATCTTTAATTATAATTTGTCCCAAAACATCTACCATATTACGTAGTTTACTGAGCACTTTGTTGTCGTCAGCTGAGGGAGTGGCAGGTTTACAATATTTAAATAATTCTTGCGGATTGGTGGAGAATCTGAGGCATTGATGTTAATTTCTACTTGCAAAAATTTATTATTGAAAAAGTACCCAACAACAGCGTCTAATCCATCTACAGTGGCCACTTTACTGTGGTAGGTCACTTCTAAAGATCTTACTTCATCCATGACTCTTGATAATTTACAATTACCATTCAATAATGTGGCTGTAAGACCAAGTATACGAGGTTTTTTGCCCCAGCTGTGAAATGTTTTCATTACTTGGCGCATTGGTTGGTCGTCCACACCGCTGTGGCACTCATCGAAAATCATCAAATTTACTCGCTCCATATCTAAAAATATTAAACTTCATAAGTACTTTATTATTAGTAGATTAGTACCTCTATCCCAGATTATAGTATACATTTTGCGTTTTTATTTTTAAAAATAAAAAAATAGACACTATAATTTGGGACAGAGGTAGTATTTATTATTAACTCGAAACTTGATTTGAAATATATTAATTTTAGTGGGTAACGAATATTTTTTTTAATATTGTTAATAGTCGTAAAAACAATTAGGCTCATCCAACCGTCTGCAACGCATCATGTCAACACTGTATTATCTAGGGTTTATAACTGATCATAGGTAACATGAGTTTTTACTTAACTGTGTGCATCTTCGTGGAAAGTAGAGGAATTATCAATTTCGTCTACGTAAAAAATCGTAATCTGGAGTTAGTCTTGTCTTAGCCCTTGCCAGAGCAACAAGCCAGAATAAATTATGCGATAATTAATTCGTCTTCTATTTAATAAAGTAAAAACGAATTTTAACAATTTATTATTATTGAAAAACCAGACTATTTATTATTTATTTTATTTCCTTGATGAGATCTTAGTGTCATGAGTAGATGTGAAAATATCCGTCCTTGAAAAACAAATTTCTATAAATATTTAGTCATTTATTTGTTATTTACAACAAGGATTGTTTATTATTTTTCTAGGATAGTTATAATAACACTAGTCAAATTAAAAAAATTATTTGCTCACACTAAACTTTTCTAACCAATTTCGATACTCTAAAACGAGATCTGAAAACCATCACGTCCAGATTCTGAAATATCATCACTGTTATTCGCACCAAATTGGTGCTTCTGACAGGAATATGGGTTCTTAGAATTGTAAGGGATGCTTGGGAGGTCCGAATGGTTAGTTTAGAGTGCGTGTGAAATGTTGAGAAACATGAGCGATAAATGTCGAGTGATTGGTCTGTTTTAGTTTTTACACAAATAAGCTAGTTGGTAAGCTACCATTGTAAAGTAAAGCCGAGAATAAAGGTTCTAATTAGAGAAACTCAGAGTATTAATTGTATTAATAGTGTTAATACTGACAAAAATATACGAGTATTATAAAACTTCCAAGGAAGTTAAGTTTTGTGTCGCTTAGGGGTTGGGAGGTTGGTTATATTTGTAGTTGAAAACTATATTTTTTCTTCAAGAACCAACTTCCCTTTGGTTTCAAGTTTAGCTACGAAATTCAAAACGTCGCTAGATGAGTTTATTGCAAAAAGGTTACCGTAACTTTTTTACCCGTAACTTATTTATATCAAAAACTAATAATCACACAAAGATCAACTTTTATCATAAAAAAAACTCTGTTTCGCTGAGATGTGAATTTTTTTCAGACACATTTGTGTAGTATTTCCATGTCAAATATTTCTATTATTCTGCACTTTCTTAGCGTAAAATGGCGTATTCGAGGGCGTATTTGATTGAATTGGAAATTATCTAAAAAAAGCTTTGAAGTACAGTCGATGGACAAATAAAACTGATACAAAAATGACAATTATGTAAATTCAAAATTCACAAATCTTCATCATTTAATTGCGACCAAAGCCGATACAAAAAAAAATATGAAATACAAAATTTTTTTAAAAATAATGCTAACCTAATTTTGGTTTTGAAAAATCAAGTTGCCTTACACTGTATCTAGAAAAAGTTATTTTGCAAAAGATCATTTATGTGTAATTTATTGAGCTCACAGTTGACGTATGTTAATGTATGTGTAAATGATTCTTCAGTTTTAGTTTTAAAATTGTTGCTTTTTCAAATGGGTTCTCAAAAATGCTGCAACCAGACACATTAATTTAATTGCGTTCTTCCTCATACATGTTTATTTTAGATTCTCGTCAATTTTTTGATAAAAATTAGAGAATGTTTAAAAATAGTGTCTAAATTGTAACGGTTTTTCGGCTTGCACGGTATTTTAAATAATTAATTTAAATATTGCAGAAAAAACGATGTTTATATCGAGCAATCAAGATAATTTGTAATCGAGTCATCTTTGCATCCGAGAACGTACAGTTGGAGACAAATTACTTTGGTCGTCAAGTCAGTTGAGTGACATTAAATTGTAAAGCATGCTTTAGGACTGTTAACCTTATTTTTAGCTACTGTCAATCATAGTTGACAAGTTGTACGTATTTTTGAGAGAAAGATATATAATAGCTGTCATTAATTTGAAATTGTCATTCATTTTAACGTTAAAGCTTGAATTACATTAAAGTGTCAGAAAAGTGACGACCAAAGTATTTTGTATCCAACTGTATGTCTAACTGCATGTGAAACGTCAAATAAAATGACAAGTCGAAAGGTAAAAGGGCCAAATAGGCAGGAATTAGTCGCCGACGTATAATAATACGAGTAGGACCGCTCTTTTTTGAAGGTAAATTATAAATTTAGTTATTATAATCATTACCTTTTTGATCATGCCATTTTACCCTTCGACTTGTCCATTTTACTTGACATTTTACAGACATACGTTTTCAGATCCAAGGATGACTCGAGTACAAATTATCTTGATCGCTCGATATTATTTGTGCGAAACTGTTTTTTAACCCTATACAATATACAGGTGCGCCAAAACTCGCGCCCCAGAGAAAAATGCCTTTGTATATGGTAAGATACCACGAATATGGAAAATATGTTTAAAAAAATATCTATAAAAGTTCCGAAGTTATGAGAGTTTTTACAAGTTTTTTGCTACAGGCTATTAGAAGAGGAAACAAGGAAGCTGTATTGTAAACTGAAATTCATTTGATGAAATATGATAGGGAAATTCTTTCTGCGTAACTAGTTCAATGTTATTTGTGGCTTTTATTGGAAAAATGTTTGTACCTTTACTAAATAATTGTAAACAAACATATACAAGATCATCAGTATCATTAAATAGACATAAAAAAATGTCAAATGTCAAAAAATATACTTATGTCAAAATTTTTTGAGATTGAATTTTTTAAATGTTCCTGGTATCTTACTTGATTTTTTTCTCTGGGGCGCGAGTTCTGGCGCATCCTGTATTTTCGACATATTCTCGAGTCAAAAAAACCGCCGCCTCGCACACTTAATATAAAAATAAATATTCCAAATAAAAAATCTGCATCCTGACCCTAATAAAAAAACCAAGTAGTCTACCATATTAAAAAAAAGTTTATGCATGTGAATAAACATACCTATAAAGTGGTTGTTGATGAGATTTACCATAATCTGGCTGGTCATTACGATAACTTGATATTTATTAAAATGCGCTTCCCATTCGTCCTCGGTCCAAAAATCCAGGTTCATTTCTCCCGTGAAAGTTCCAACTTCGAAACTCGTGTGATCTCTAACATACTTCCCATGTTGATCCACCAAAGCAACAGAATTAACCAATAAAATTGTAAGTTTTCCACCATCACTGTAAGGTCTAAACAAAATTGTGTCAGATTAAAATTTCAATGAAACAACACCAATACCTCAATAAAGGGGCACACAAATGCTTCAAAACCATTATTGCGATGAAAGTTTTACCAGACCCTGTTGGTAAATAAATGATGGTATTTTCTTTAATGGCAATCTTCATCAAATCGACTTGGTAATTCCGAGGTTCGAGTTTTTCTTCCTCCATTACGTCCTCCATTCTGGTAAAAACTTATCAACTGGAAAAAAAAATTGTTAAAAAAGCTAACTTTTTTGTGTTTAATTGGACACTGGAATTCACACTAACCCAACAAAAATATTTTCATCTCAAACTATTTCATTTCATAATATCATGCAATGGGTTCTAATTTTCTAATCTTAGTAAAGGCCACGTCATTGACAAGTAAAAAGTAAGGGGAACCCCCGAAATAATTTTCTATCTTTGTAACTAGATTTTAAAGAGCAGGTTTTGCATTTGGACATTTTTAATGTAAAAAACATCATATAAATTGTGAAATTAATAAATATAAATAAAAAAATAAATTCAAAAAGACATAACCTCGCTTATGCAGCTGTAATAATTTTAAGAAAACTTATTTTACAACTTACAAAAAATGACGATGAAGGAATGATTTAATACAAAAATATTAATTGTTCTTTCTCAAGAACTAATTTCTTTCTGACATTTCTTCACTTTTTCACAAAAAGTGGGGTGAGGTGTTGTTCTGTGGGTGGGGTTAGCATAGCTCAAATAAACTACTGAACACATATTAGTTTCATTGTTTTATTTGTTAAAATTAAATATCACATAATTCTGGTTAAATTATAGTTAAAATTAGAGCACATATTTGTGGAAATACTAAAAACAATTTATGTAAAATTACTGCATTGCTTTACTTATTTTTAAATCATAATTTTTCAATAGATACAACGTTACAGTAGTTTAGTTGACTTAACCTAGAAAACTTGTTACACTTGTTGAACATGTGTTTTAAGTGAAATTAATTAAAATGGAACCACCAAAGGAAGTGTTTGAAAGACTCATAACAAATAAAGTCTTGGACAGTTTAATTCAGGACACGACTTGCCTTAGAACTTTGAAATTTCTTCTACAAGTCAAAGAGGAGAGGGTTTTGGGGGGCCAGTGTGAGAAAATTACCTTTTGTTTGAGCTCTCTTTACGACTGTGAAGTAGATGTAGGTTTGGGAAGACAGATTTTAAAAAGTGCTTTATACGTTATGGCTGATAATACCGCTCTTTTGTCTCAAACTCAGTCATTTTGCTTAAGTAAATTACAGTCAAGTCAAACAGTTGATGAACTTTATTATTGTTGCAATTTATTAAATGTACTTTTTGATTATTATAATAACGAAAAACTGACACTTTCAAAATGGACAAGTGGTCAGTTTTCAACTGGGATTTTAAATCCTTTGATTATTTCATCGAAACCTTTATTCACTTTTGTTACTGTTTATTTATTACCAAACTACTTTACTGTATGCAATCAGAATGATAAAGGTTTATTTTTAGAAAATCTATTTAAATTTATCAGGAATAATAAAAAATTAGAGCTTTTGTGTGTCTTGTGGCCCTATTTCGCGCCATCTGATTTAAATGAAGATAATTTCAATGTATTAAAACTTGATGATTTTTGGAAACTTATAATAGAGTGCTTATCAAGTCAAGCATTTCAAAAACAAGCAATTTACTTGTTATCCAAAAGCACTGAAATTGCTTTCAAACTCAGAAATGTTCCCAATTATCTTAAAGTGGAAAATAGCACCGAAAATGAAAAGATTTGGCGAAATTATTTCACTCTTCTAGACGTTTCAAATGAAAAACAGTTACATTTTATCGAACCTTCTTTACACATGTTGGGGTCCATCAAACCTCTACACATTGCATGGAGATTATGCTTGTATAAAATTCTTTTACATCACTCACAAATTACTGTTGTTTACAGTATTGTTAATTTTATTCTAGAAAATGAAAATGCTTGGCAAGATTTTTCAAAAATTTTAGAAAACTTACTCTTTGCTTTGAATAAACACGAATATAATGAACAGTCTAAAAGCATTTTTCGAAAAATCGGTGTTTGTTGTTCTGAATTTAACGAAATTCAGTTTGAATGTTTCTTGGGTGAGTGTTTGAAGGTGTCTTGGACCCCTTCAGCGCTTTGGGGTTTATTTAGTAATGTTTTCAATGACGAAATACGTTTCCAAATTTCGTTTGAATTATTTTCTAATGTAATTAAAAAAATTAGAATGCTTCCACACAAATTTATCAGGGAATCGTGTACACGAATTGTTTTGACTAAAAATCATACTCTAGAGTCAATGGAGGATGTTTTAAAAATTTCAGCCTTACTTTGGGATTTTAACGAATTTTTATTTCAGTCTTTTATCATAAATTATGCTCAAGAGACTGATTTTAAGAATAAACTTTGTGAAAAATTTCAAACTTCCGTCAAGAACTCCAATGAAAAAGAAGTTGAAATTGAAGTAAAAATTTTCCATATTTTAGAAATTGAAGTTCCATCAGTGCTCCTATTAAAACCATTTACTCAACAAACTGATTTGATTTTTGATTTCTTCGCCGAAAATGTTGAAACGATCGAGTTAGAGAAGTATGTGTTGAGTAGGATTGAATCTGTGCTTGAAACTGAAGACATCTCCGCTTTGTTAAAAATTATTTTAAAAATTTCAACACCAACATTGTGTCAAAAAGCCGAGATTATTTTATCGGAGCAACAGTATAACACGAGTCAAAAAATAATAGCGTTTGGAATACTTCACAAGAAACAAAATTGCGATTCAATAATCACTTTTTGTAAAAATGTTGGTAACGACAGTGAGCCACTTACAGTATTTTTTGTGAAAATTTTACTCAATTCTTTGAATAAAAATCCTCCAAGTAAAATTAACGAGTGTGTTAATTTTTTCAAAAATATTTTAGATAAGCAAAGTAGCGCAACAATTACAATACTTGAAAACATATCGATCATTTTGAAATTTCTACACCACGAAATTGTGTTTGATTTTTTTACACAATGTTTGAACGAGTTTTTAAATTTATACAAAAGCGGTAGTTTCAAAACCACAGCAAACGTGTTTATGGAACAAATCTTTGCAAAACAGTTTTTTGAACATGAGAAATTTTGTACCAAAATTCTCGAGTTTGTCCAAAGATTGTTACCAATTTCAAACTCAGTTACTTATTTACTTGCAAAATTAATTCGATCCGTATGCCAACAAAGCCCCCACAAGAGCTTAATTTTTGTTCCTGTGATTGTTGAATTGATTTTACACGGAATTGTGATTAGTAAAAATGAAAGGTAAATGCTGCATTTACCGTTACAAAATGACCGATTGTAATTTTAGGGTTGAATATAGTGTGTGTCAAGAGATTTACTCAAAGTTGGGAAAAAATCAGAACAAGTAATTTTTCATTATTTTACTTTTTGACCTAATTATTGTTTTTCAGTCCAAATTTTGAAGAAATGTCCATACGGTTAATTGCTTTAGACACAATGCTAGATTTAGTTAATAATTTAAAGACTGAAATCGTGGTTAATCAATTCGTTTCAATATTGATAGAAAAATATAAGGAATATTTCACAAAACGGTATTTCCCAGATTCACAGGTAATATTTTTTTGCAATATATTTTTTTCTAGTCATTTATTTCAGATCCATTTCCAAAAACTAAGAATAATGCAAACTTTGTTATTGTTACACAAGCACATAAAAGACGAAAAAACACCTTTGATCAATCTTTTAATTGAAAGTTTTTTGCTGGAAAGTCATCAACCATCGGTAAAACATTTAATGCAGTGGCTTTTAATATGTTTACTGAAAACCGACAGTGACTTTTTTATTCAAACAATTAACGACAAATTAAAATCAATCAATAGTAATCGCCCATCAACGATTTCTGGCTTCATCCCAATACTTTACAACATAGTAACCCTCCAAAATGAAGCACACTGGGAGCAAGTAGTCGAGATGCTTTTACCTTACACTATGGGACCACAGTTTAAACTCCGATTTTTTTCTCAGGTGATGGTCAATGGTCATTACAATTTAAAAAAATGTCTTGTTCACAGGTAGCATTAATAAAACTGTACGAAAAAGCGAAAGACAAAAGGCTTGACAATTTCACCGAAAAATATCAAATCCTTTACAATTCCCTCAAACAAGTGCTTGCAGCTACAAGTAATGTTGATGCTGACATCATAAAACATGAATTTCTCGATTATATTAATCTGGAACAGTGTGACTGTTCAACGATATTTTATTTGATTCCGAGAAAAAACGGAGTTCTTGCCACTGAATGGGAAAATTTGAACACTGTTTCAGTACAATTCAAATTTCTCTCTTTCAATCATTCTGAACATGTTCCAAAAACTTATTACACGGTAACAAATCAAGCAATAGGTAGTGACAATATTCAAAAGAAGATTACGCCATGGAGAGATCTTTTAGACAATAAAAATCAGCCTCAAGAAAATAATTTTATACTGGTGACAACACTAATTGAGAAATCAACTAATTTGGGCGGTTTATCACGAACTTGTGAGGTTTTTGGCGTCAAACAAATAGTAATGAGGACAGCTAAAGTCGTCTCGGATAAAGAATTCAAAAGTTTGAGTATGTCCTCAGAAAATTCGGTCGATATTTTGGAAGTGAAGGTAGAAGATTTGAAAAACTATATTCTCGAGATGAAGAAACAAGGATATAGTGTAGTTGGTGCTGAACAAACTTCGGAAAGTGTCAAACTGGATGTGTTTAGATTTGCCAATATGACACTTCTTGTTTTAGGGTAATTAATTTTTAATGTAAATCACTTATTTTTTGTTCTTTTTAGAAATGAAAAAGAGGGGATACCGCCGTATTTAATTCCACTCCTTGACCACTGTATCGAAATTCCGCAATTCGGACTGGTCCGCTCATTAAATGTTCACGTTGCTGGTGCTATAGTCATTTGGGAGTATTGTAAACAACAAAAGTTGTAACAATCGTATATTTTCATTAAATATTTAATGAGACCTAGCGATATCGGAGAAGAAATGTAAAATATCCTCGATTGTGAATTCTAAACTTATCATTGACCCAGGATAACACTGTTGGATCAAATCTTCGAGCATTTTGTATTGTCGGATGAACTCCTCTTGCATTGCCCTCCAAACGACTTGTAGAAGATTTCCCTCTTCCGATAAGTGCTTCTCGACTTTTTTATAAAGTGCTTCAAGTCCCTTTTTCACCTACAAATTTTGTTTTAAAACCAGACACTTGAAAAAAAAAAACTCACAATGCTTCCGGGATACTGATTTATAACTTTGCGTAACTCTTGTTTACTAAACGCTAACTGATAACTCACTTCCGACGCTTTTACTCCACTCGCAACCCTTGCTTGCACACCCTCAAAGAATGTCTGAAATCAGAGTTATAACAACCATTTTTTTTAACTATTTTCTTACATTTAATTTTTCAAGAGGTCGTCCAAAATATAAAGTGACGTAGGCTTGCAAAGCGTCGTTGTATTTCTGCTTTGCTTCCTTTCTCTGTGCGTCTAACACAGATATCTTCAGTTGAGATAAAAGTGAGTATAAGTGGTGATAATTTTCTGCAATAATTTATTAATTGTTGTTAAGATTGAACAGAGTTTGTTACCCATTTTTATGACTTGTGGCGGCGTTTTATGATGCTCGTTCGAGTGAATAGCGATGTATTCCAGAATTGTGTCCACTAGTCTAGTATACCATTTTTCTAAATCGGCCCTTCGGTCACTTTTTAATAAACAATCAGCGTTTATCGCAAACTCTTCGATGTTTGAAACGTAGGGTAAAATCCCACATTTTGATTTTCGTGCAACTCGACATTCTTTAACCGAATCAATCTGCATCTGCATGAACTGATCTAAGGACCGTTTCACTTCAATAAGTTCGGAAGCGAAAGTGTTACTTAAAAATGAGCTTTGGGCCGACATAACGTGTTGATTCAAGCACACCAAAACGTACATACAATAACTAGAGCAATTAATCAAAAAAAATCTACCAACTTTTTTTCACTTACAAATTATCTTGTCGTTTTATGTGATCGATTAAACTGTCCAATTCGCTCTTAAGACACGAAAATAAACTACTCATCATATTTCGAACATCTTCATTGATTTGTTTCTCGGCTTTTCGCGGCGAGACACTTTCAGTTTCTGGTCCTGGACCATCCAGTGTTGTTAAAGTGTTTTTCGAACCAGAAGTTAGGACATCAAGCTGGAAGAAGTTGACACAAAATTGTTGTTCTTGAAGACAAACCGGCTCCAGTTGGGTCAAAACTTGTTCCAGAGTTGCTTTGTAATTTTTTCTGTCGTTTGAATTCGTCTCCAACGTCCACATTTCTCGATCTAAACCAATCAAAGTCGTAGGTGAGGTCGCAAGTCCGGGGGCTGCAATTTTAGCTTTAGCTAACTCAAATAGATTTTTCAAGTCTCTCTCATAGAGTTTTCCTAGGGAGTTTGTGTAGACGCTTTTTAGGGACTCGTACGATTTCCGGTCCATTACCTAATAATTTTTTTTAGTATTGTGTTAATTAAAAAAAATATTTTTACTTTAATCCAGTGCATCAGTTCCACGTAAGAAGTCAATTCCTTGTGGACGCCACTGTGTTGGGGCAGAATCAGCCCCTCAATAGATTTATCAGACTCGCCTTTATGGTTTCCATAATGGATAAATAAATTGTTTAATTGGCGACAAATACTACGTGAAAATTTCTCTTTATATTTCTCGAATCGGCGCCTTTGTTCTTGAACAGCAGTCATTTGGAGCAAGGCTTTGTCAATGTCCGAATTCATGGCTATTTTCAAGGCATTTCCGGCCTCCACAGCCGCTTTGAGTCCCTGAGGAGTGGTAAAATCGGCGTCTTCGAGGGTATCTTGATATTTTTTTGGAAGGTCTAGACGTGTCTTAAAAACAACATTTTTGGTAAGTCCAAGTCAAACAATTAACAAAACTTACAACAATATTTTCCAATTCTCTTAATAACAGTTGGTTGTTCTTGTCCACGACTGAAATCAACGAATTTTTCTTCTCCATCTTCTCCATAGTGTCTCTGACATGGCAAAGAATCTCATCGTAAGAATCCAACTGGGTTTCAAGTCTGTCAGCTTCATTTATTGCAACTTCGAGTTGGCCCATCAGTGTTTCCACCTGTTCTTCAGAGGCTAACACGCACTGCACGTTCTCGCCGTCAAGAAGTGACAAATCTCGGGCTAGTATTTCCATAAACGCCTCTGCATTGCTGATTGCAAACTCACATCCAGACATTAACCTAATTAAATAATGTATTAATTTCAGTGGCAAATGGCACTTATGATGATCATTTACCGTTTCAAATCTTCTTGTTCTTTATCAGTAATGGCTTGGAAATCTTCAGTCAGGTCCGTATCACCCAGCAGAGGTGAACTAACAAATTTATTCTCTGGAGTCATCGCATCTTCAGTGATCCAAGCCAGTGGAATATTCTTGAAAGTAGGCATGTCTTTCATTATGTGTTTGACGGCCTGCTTCCACAAATTGTGAATAAACGAATGCCGTTCTTTCGGATTGGTGGCAACCCAACGGTACACTTTATCAAAATGAAGATCAAACTCTTGGGTTTCGTTCGATTCATTATGACCATCAACACCCTTCAATTCGGCAAGAGCCCAACTACGTTTCCTTTTATGGGTCTGTTTATCGGTTTGCTTCACTTGCACTATTGATATATTAATCGGGGGGCTCGTCGTACTGACAAGGCACAAAAACGAAGTTTTCTTCTTCTTCAAATATTTACCAACGTGACAACAGGTTATTAGACGCTCCTCGTTGGGTTGAAAAATTTCTTGCTGCAGGGCCCGCACTATTGAAGTCATTTTATTATTTCAAAAATTATTTCACAAAGAAATTGAGGTTAGAAACAGATACGCCTGTCAAATTGCAATATTGCCAACATGACAAAATTAAATTTGTATAAAAATAATTCATGAACTAGTCTTGGGGTGAGTACAAGTTGAGTTGTGAGTACCATTTTTCTTTCAAGGGTCATTTGGCCCGGTCTAGAATTTATAAAATGGTGAATAAATGAAATAAGAAACTGTTTTTGGTTTGTTTAGTTGGTGGGCTTGATGCCACGACAGAGATGACAGTTGACAGCACGCCATCATTGCAGTGATTTTGTTTTATGCCGAAAATTTGTTAAACTTCATGATTTAAAGTTTTTTTCTTGTTACTTTCAGAATGGTAAGATTACTTAAATTATAATCTGGTTAAAATTCGCGTTTGACCGCCTTGGGGAAGTGTTTTTCCAGAGGGGCGTTTTTGTATAAAATAACCTCTTATCTTTTCAAAGATTCTAATTGGATAATTATCCATTACAGACGGACAAATCCAACCAAGAAGAGGGCAATAATGTTCCTCTCGTCGATAACACGTTAATTGTTGATATTTCCGATGCCCTTAGTGAAAAAGACAAAGTTAAATTCACGGTTCACACTCGCACTACGATGAAGAATTTCCAAAAATCGGAATTTTTGGTCGTTAGACAACATGAGGAGTTTATATGGTTGCACGACCGCTATGAAGAAGATCCAAAATACGCAGGATATATCGTAAGTTGTCACAAAACTGTTTCTTTAAATTCAGAAGAAATGTAGATACCGCCACCACCACCCCGTCCAAATTTCGATGCCTCACGTGAGAAACTTCAGCGATTGGGTGAAGGCGAAGGAACAATGACTAAGGAAGAATTCACAAAGATGAAACAAGAACTGGAAGCGTAAGCCCCACATTGTACTCTATTCCTGTCATTACATTTATTTTTGGTATAGTGAGTATTTGGCCACATTTAAGAAAACTGTAGCCATGCATGAAGTGTTTCTCACACGCTTGGCTAGCCATTCTGTGTTTCGAGAAGACCACCACTTACACGTGTTTTTGGAGTATGATCAAGATCTGTGTGCTCGTCCTAAAGGCAAACTGCAACAACTTGGGGGCATAGTTAAGTCACTTGGTAACACGACTGACCAATATTATCTTAACGCAACCGTACGTGATGTTAACGACTTCTTTGAACAACAAATGAACTCTTTAACAGAATATCACAATCAGTTGAAAGAAGCCACAACAAGAACAGATAAAATGACTGAGAAGCATAAAGGTAAGAAATTAATTTGTTACAACGAATTTTAATTAATCGTTCTGTTAGAACTTGCTGATAGTTATATAAAAATATCCGCTGGAGTGTTACAACTCGCCAATAATGATCCAGGGCCGTTAGATAAATTTTTAGCCAAAGTGGGAGACACTTTTGAAAGAGCTAGAGTAAGGTTGTTTTTTCAAATTGGGAAAATTGCAATTTTATAAATTTTAGAAAGTTGAAAGTAGAGTTGCAAGTGATCAAGATTTAAAACTAGCAGACACTTTGCGGTACTACATGAGAGATAGCCAAGCAGCGCGTGCGTTGTTGGTGAGACGTTTGAAATGTTTGGTAAATTATGAAAACGCCAATAGGACACTTGAAAAAGCAAGGCATAAAAATAAAGACATCCATGCGGTAAGTTTGTCACTCTCTTTGTTATCTCAAGTAGCAAACAATGTTTTAACAATATAATTTAATCGGTGTTTTTAACTAATTTATTTTTTAATGACATGCTTACGTGGTTAAGGCGCCAGAAATACAAGAGGTATTTATGTTTATTTAATATTTTTTAGATCTAGAGGAATGCCTGCATGATACTAATAAATCTGTTACTGTTATTTGCTAGTTTGGTTTGTGTTAAAGCAGTTATGAAAATGTTTTTTATTTTATTTTAGGCTGAAGCAGCACAGTCGCAAGCTTGTGAACAATTTGAAGCGATTTCAGCACAGGCAAAAGAAGAGTTGTTAGATTTTAAAACACGAAGATTGCATGCGTTTAGAAAAAGGTTTTTTTCAATGAAATTAAAATGTTTTTTTTTTGATTTTGTATTTTTCAGTTTAATTGAACTAGCCGAATTGGAAATAAAACACGCCCGAACTCAACAAGATCTGTTGAAGAAATCTGTTCAAAGTTTGCGAGAATTGCTTTAATCTTGGTGATACTTTATATTTTTTTTTTCATTCATTTTTTACAACACATTCCTTTTTTTATTTTTCCTATTGGGGAATGTTTTGCTTTACTATAAACCCGTATTGTTTTTGGTTATATCAAATTCTATTATTATAGAGATATCGTATCATATATTGTATGTTGTTTATATTTGAATAAAAAAATTAAAGTTTTCTAAATGGGTTTTTATATATTTAACAAAAAAATTATACTCCCATGTAATTTTAGTATTATTTAGAAATAAAAGCTAGTAAATGTGTATGCAATCCAACTTACAATTAAATTGTTGGTGATCTAAGTATAACATTAATTTTCCAACCGGAAATAACTAGTTGAAAAATTGATCATAATCATTTAATTACAATGATTTTTATATCGTTAGTAAAGTGAAAAAATGCCATAAGCAAGGCAAAAAGTGATGGTGTGTTGTTCTCTTTTCGATTTAATTGTGACTTGTGGCAAAACTCCAAATTAAAGAAACATATCTTGTTTTAAAATATGATAATTGATAACAAATTATTTGATTAACTAAATCATTGTAAACATATTAGGTATAGATAGTCAACAGGAAACATATTAACCAGGAAGTAAAGATAAATGATAATAAATGGACCGTGGTTTTTGATTTAATGTAAGCGAGAAAATTTGCAAAAAAAATTGTAAACGATTTAATAATATATTTAATACAACGTAATAAATGCTTGAAGCGTAAATAGTTTTTCAATAAAAAAGTACATACTACTTTATTAGAAAAAATATTTAACACGGCAATTGATAAATAATAATTATTTTTGTTTATAAAGTAGTGAATGTTAATAACTTTATTTTTCTGAGAATTTGCTCAGCCCATATTTATCTTTTTTTAATGTTAAATAATTATACAGGGTGATTTTGAAGTATGCGTAAATATTTTAACAAGTGATAGTAGAACTCAAAAAAAGTCAAAATAACTTAACTTGCTTTATCCGTTTGTTTAAAATTTTTGGGATACAAAGCGGTTTGTTCGTCGAAAAAATTTAAATTTGCAGCGCAGCCTTGAACTTCCCCAACTCAATTTACAACCAAATATGATATTTGAGATTAGTTCTTCAAAACGTATAACATTGTTTAAAAAAAGTTGTCAAAATTAGCACAAAGAGGTGTCATCTAAAAAAATCATAAAACGGTGAAAATTTTGGATCATTTTTTTGTTGAAGATATCACCCAATTTCATTACCTCAAATGTTACCGATTACTAGTGAGATAAAGTACTCAAAAGGTTCAAAATTCGTTCATGTTGCATTGTTTTAATATTTTTTTCGACGCCAATGTGGAGGTTTCACCCTCTATATCTTAGAAACTATAAACATTTGCATAGGTAAGGCAAGTTGAATTATTTTGACTTCTTTTGAGCTCTACTATTACCTGTGAAAATATTTGCATATAACTCAAAATCACTATATTTAGGGATTCTTATAATAAACGCACAAACATTTCGCAACTTATGATGAATTATTAAAAAAAACTAATAGTCTACGAGTTCCTGTATGCAGCTTTATTTGGTGTTAATCATTCGGAAACTGCATTTGAAATTACTAAAACATTAATTAACATAAATTATTAAACCTTGGACAAATGGTAATTAGATTTTTTTGATCAATAAAGAGCAATTGATATTGATTAATCTTTTACAAATATTTACTTTAAGGCTAATAATAATTTATTTATTTCAATTCAAAATTCAAGAACAGTGTTTTTCTAGAAAATTCTCCATAACAAAGAAGACTTTTCTTAATCGTTATTTCCTTCTGCCCCTGTTCCTACAATAAGCAAACTTTAGTCTTAAATAATTGTATATTTTAAATGAAATAAAATAATTTTTATTCTAAAACAGCAACAAATAAATTGTAGGAAATTAACAATAATTTCGAGAAAAATTTAATAAGATAAGAAAAACGAACTTAAATATAAAACAATAAAAGCAGTGGAAAAAAAGGACATAATATATATAATACTGCATTCTTTTTTTGGTTCAAAAATGTTTCCTTCTTCTCTGTTTTTGTTGAAAGTTGCTCCTCTTTTTTGAACTCTCTAAATCTAAAATAAATACTTACCTAGTTCATTACAAAACGCGGTTCAAAACATACATCATTATTATTTTTTTAAGTGAAACTATTCCTCCAAATTTAAGCTTGAATTACGAGTATGAATCATGATTACACAGGATTGTACACCAGGTAATGAAATAACGAGCCTTTTATTTAATTAAAGAATTGGAGTCACTAGCAATTTCTTTATTTTCACAATAAATGACTCATTCTAGCACATGTTTCCGCAGCAAAGCATTTTTAATAATTCTCATTAGATAAGTTCTTCTTGTTGTTAAAACAATAACAAAGACAATTATAAAGAAATGCCAATTTTATATAGATACCAAAATGTCTTAAAATACACATTTTTTTTCTTTTCTTGTAGAAAAATTAAACTTCTTTGAAAGTTGCATCATGAAAATGGTAAAGTACAATTTTTTTTAATAACTACCTTCAATATAATAGACATAAAAAGAAAGTTAAAAGATGGTGTGGTTTATATAGTTAATGGATGAAACAATCCAAAATATTGCATCATTTTCTAATAATTAATAAAGTACTTAGTGCGCCAATTGGTTTGGTCCAGAAATGGAAAACTATATTGGGGCGTTTAAAAACAAGAGATTTTGTAAATTTTTTGGTTACTCTTAAGGTAACTTTGCTTGATTTTAGGTGATTTTCAGTGATTTTTCCGCATGCTACATACTTTAGTCAAGAAGTAACATTTTATATACTACACTTAATAAGTTCAAACAAACACGAACTTTAAATCTGAATTTAAGTGATCGTTAGCTTTATTAAACAATTCTAACACATGCTGGAAGATTAATCAACATTCTAACTGAAAAAAATGTTAATATTTATTGGGTCGTCACGAAATTTTTGGAAGAAACCTGAAGGATTAAGCAAGGCCCTCTCTGGACCGTAACAACGGTTTTACCCAACTAGCGTACTATAAGTAACCCGGTAACAAGCTTTCACCTGTAATTAATGAGTATCATCTATGCTTTCATTGATGAGAAGCTCGGCGACAAGGTCTTGGTTCATTTTCAGCACTCATTGATTTATTATAAACCAGTTATTTTGTCTCTCTGATTCAATGAACCTTTTTCTGGTCATGTAATTTACCCACACGTAGACACACATTTTGCTTCTTGAAGCTATTTATAGATTTATCTCCTGAAAATAAATAGAAAAGATCTTCATCGAAAGAAAGTAATTTTGATAACAGCAATTTTCAATATTTGACTTGGTAGTCCGATCAATCGGTTTCAACGTAAACCGCACTATTAGGTTTTTTGACCCCTTCGTTGACATTGACTTTACTTAAAATTGAATAGTTTTGTCTTGGAAAAAACACGCTATAAGCCCCGAACATTTTAATAACAAACTTACTTTCGCCTGGTGCAAGAGAAGTGAAGATTTCATCAGCCAAATTACCAAATTTCTATGTCGATTATTCTTTTTACATTGGCACAATGGAATGCTTATGCGACGGTTTAACATTTATGCAACGCTGATTATTTACTTCGGTGTGACCTTAAACATATTAATTAACAAATCTTACGCTACGTGGTTTTAAAATTAAAGTACATTTATTTACATAGAGTGTTTAGTGGAAGAAAATCAGCAAGTCGAGATAATTTGAATTTGGGCAAAAATCAAGTCAAAAAATGGATATTTATCTTTTTATGAAACATTAATTAAATATCAGAAATAATAGTATGTGTGTTGAATTAGTATTTGCATACTAATTCGCTTTGAAACGACCAGATTTGTTACCGGTTTGTTTGATATGTAAGCAATGATAGCATTATTACAATTATTATCACTCAATCAAGAATTATCATCTACCGTAGACAATAATTAATTACTCCAGCCTTATAATTATGTGATTGGCTGCATTACATACTAGCGTAACTGACAATTTGAATGTTTAATAGTTTTGCATGCTAAATTACAGAAAAAGATGTCTGCAAGGATTGATGTTAAGCTGATGTAACTTGCCAATATATTACACTAGACGGTAATTCTCAATTTACAATTACGGGAATTATTGTTCTGAATTTTTTTCCACCGAGGTCATTTGAATTGTGATTTTATGAAATTTTACACAAAGACAATTTGGAATTGCCGCGGTGGTATGTAACATTACCTAGAACAAGGCCGACGTCACCCAGGTTATGGTCAAGGAGATGGATTTGAATCGAGCGGATTTCGCTTTCGCGATTCTTTGGCCTACAAACAGATCTTCCAGATTTATTTATTACTAACACCAAGTATGTGCTATACATTTCCGAGATAAGTTGATTAGTTATTTCTTTCAAAGGATACGACGTTCTTGGTTCTTTTTTTACTTGATTTTACTTTAGGAGAACCCCATTAGTTTCACAAATTTTTACAATTTTTCTTACAAAAATAGTGGTAATAACAAGGATACGTTGAAATAATCAAATATTCTTTACTCAACGAAAGTTTCACAACTTTATTATTTATAATTTTACAATAATAACGATTTCATGTTAACCAATCACAAATCACTGATTAAAATAATAAAATGTTCCAGAATGCGTTGTTTCCCTAGTAACATAATTTAGGGGAAATCTTAAAAATGAATTATTTAGTGTGAATTAAATGAAATCAAAAATAAAAATTTCTTAAAAAAATACAGTGTAACGATAAATGTTTCACAAAAATTTTGTAGCGCTTATATCATGTGATTGCCGATCAATGTGATCGGCAAAATTATGGAATGATCCTATTAAAACTAAAAATATTTTGTTTTGGCAAAAATGCTCAAATAGGTCAATTTTCTTTTTATAAAATACAAGATTTTCCACTTGACTTAAAATTTTATACTGGTTTTTGAGTAATGAGGTTATCGACATTTTTTTAAATGGAAACCCTAATTTTTTTTAACTAATTCGATATATCTTTTAATTGTCGAAATGACAACACCAAAATGCTAAATATTATATAAAGTTTTCAAAAAGAAAATCATTCAAAAAGTGAAATAATATCAACAAAAAACAAACATACAATTTTAAAACAAGTTGAAAATTTTGAAAATTTACCTGTTCGAGCAATATTTTCAGTTTTGATAAATAAGATTATTCCATAATTTTGCCGCTCACTGTATGTATACTAGTATCGAGCGATCAAAATAATGTGTAATTGAGTCATCTTTGTATCCGAAACGTATGTCTGTGAAACGTTAAATCAAATGACAAGTCGAAAGTTAAAATGGTACGATCAAATAAATGATGATTTTAATAACTAAATTTATGATTACCTTCAAAAAAGACCGTTAACTGTTCTATTATTATACGCCAGCGACTAAGTTCAGCCTATTTTGCTTTCGACTTGTTATTTTATTTGACGTTTCACAGACATACGTTTTCGGATTCAAAAATGACTCGATTACAAATTATCTTGATCTTGATATCTGTAAGACAAATTGTAAATTGATTTTAGTCAAAAACGGTATGTTATATAGAAAAAACGAAAGAGACCTCTTTTTTGTGAAAAACTATACAATTTAGAATTTTGTGGCTGAAAGTGGCAAGAACCAAAAGTCAAAATAGTTAGGGTACTTCTTAGGGTACTTCATCATCCACACTCGACTATAACTTCTAAACTATTAGGGATTTTCCGGTTTTCTTGACGCCAATCGACTTTGCGGAACATTTTACAAACGCATAGTTCAAAACATTAATCATTTTGGGTATTCTTTTGCCGAAAATAACCGAACACCCCCCGTATAAAAAAGTGTTTTTGAACATGTCTCACATTATTTTAAATCTATCGTATCCTACAGATTTTGAGGCGCCGATAACTAAACGGCCGGCCTCTTAGCTGAAGCTCGTTTAGTTGCGCCGTAATCGGCGTTTAAGTATTGAATTTTTTTATAAGGTAAATTTTTACGTCAAACTACGTAAAATTAGTGTCATTTGATAATTCTTTTGTGTTGGGCTTTTGCGATAGTTCTAATAATAATCCTGGTTTAAAAAGTAAAAATTGTCAAAATTTTAGAAGTGCAAAAAATGTCTTTGGTCCGATTTTTTGACAAAAATTAAGGTATTTATTTAAGTACAAACTGCGTCTGAAAACTCAAGAAATTCAGTATTTTTCAACTCGACTCAATAACGTTTTATGGATTTTTTTGGACCGTAAGAGTGCATTAAGTTTGGTTTTAAAGTTTTCAAAATTTATTAAAATTTTTGAACTAAAGAGACCTACTTACCTATAGTTTAAAAAAAATGGATAAAAATATCAAAAATAAATATCAAAAAATCCTGTAACTCGTAAGCGAATTTGTTCTGCGTCAATCTTATAAATACGCAGACAATATTTGGTTTGGTAAACATTTCGAAACTTTGCTAGGGGGCATGTAATTAGAATTAATTAATTAATTAGTTATCACATTTTACAATTACTCAATTTTTGCCATTATCATCTATTGTATTAGGTATTAAATTTTCACGTTATTTTTTCAATATTAAAATTAGAGCAATACTGGTAATAGAAATGGAGTCGACCTAAATAACCATTCGCTGAAAAATATTTTGTTTTCAATAAATTTAATCTCACATATTTGTTTATATGACCAATTTTTTATTTTGTTTTCAAATTTTTTAATCAAAACAAGATACAGTGCGTTAGTAAAATAATAAAATTTTCAATAAAACTGGATTTCAAAGTGAGGGAGAAGAACCCGAACTAAGTAGTTATCTTTACGATTTTTTAATTGAATATTTGTTAAATAAGTAATTTTACTGCAATTGTAATTGAATGGTTTGACACTTTTTATCAAGTAATTATGCTTTATTACCCTAAATAGGCTATAAAATTACAATGCTACTCAAATTTGATGATTTTATAGTAAACAAACACAAAACGATTATGAAAGCCACCACTAGCTTTGTTTAAAATTTAATTTCGCGTTTAAAAATTTCGAATATGTTCCACGGCGTTAAAAATTCTTTCGTGTGTGTTTTATGGATGAAATATTCAAATAAGAAAATTTGAATCTCCTCCACTGCACCGTTAATTACAATACGTTATTAGGAAATCACGATAATTTATTTCAGAAAAAATGGGCCGTTCCAACAGTCATGGATCTTGTGATAAACTCTGTTGCAATGTCGGAGATTAGTAGAACATTGCTCCGGTTTAAATTTTTATTCTTCTATCAACACTTCGAACCCTATTGTTACCTCGATATAATTGCGCAATTTAATTGTATTATTTTCCAAATAGTCTTAAACTCGAAACTAGCAACAAAAGTCTTAATTATGCTTCTGAACTATAATTAATTTCGAGATAAGAGGGGTCGTTGGTATTGTAACATAATTGTGTAACCTATAACACTACGTAAAACTGTGACACCCCATCATTAAAGGTTATCACTTGGCAATTTAGCAAAAGATGTCTTTTTTAAACAAGCTACAGAATAAATATCATCAATGGAATATTTTGTGCGCCTTGAGAGAGAGCTAAGGATGCCAACAACGGCACAGATTGACTTAAATGTTTTGTGTGGGATAGGGATGAGGGTTGGTCCTTCCGAGAAATTCTTTAAAATTTATGTTGGGTGAGGGCCATTCATCTAAATAAATTTCGCAGGATGTGTATAATTATGGCCGCGTTCTAAACTAGGAGAAATTATAAGCTAAGGTACTCGAATTAATATGTTTACCACATATTGTTCTTATCTTGTCAATAATCGTGGAAATTGGGTTAAAACACGCGAGGTGGGTCCCATATACCATTAATTTTTTCAATACACGTGTTAGATATTTGTTTACTGAAAATGTAAATGGTGTTATGATACACGTATTTTGTTAATTATTAGAAAATAGCGCCAATTATGATAATTTTATTGGTAGGTATTTAATATTTAGAATAGTCAATTAATAGCTCTTTTTGGTATCTATTACTTTACACTTTCACAATCATTGCGTGTATTTTTATTTGTTTCATTCGAGATCAATTTTTAATTGACCAACTGCTAGGAAAAACACAACTTTAGTGCAAATGTTAAGAACATCTTTATCTAATACAAGTTTAAAGGTTGTGGTTTATATTTAAAACACTGATAGCTTGTGAAACCTAAACAAAACAGTCACAAATATTTTTTGTTGCGCTAGGGTGTCTTTTAGGGGACGCTATTTTTATAAATGCAGACCACTGTTACTAGGGAATTAAAAATTCCAAAAACAACTTTTGAGGAAAATATACAGATGACTTGCAGAACGCTGATCAACAATTAATATGCGTTATTTTTCTCACGCTGTTTAATAAACAAAATTCATTCTAGACAAATTCTACAATCTCTGTGATAACTATAACATTTTGGAAACGTCAACTGCAGTTTAAACAATTTACTGACCTTTCAAGATCGATTAAAAACTTTTTGGCTCGTTTTGAAACTATCGGAAAGTTCCTCAGTAACATATCTTCATCTTTATATTTATTCATACTGCTTTGTCACTGTTCAGGTGACTTTTATACATATTTTACAATAATTTATTGCAGCCTGTTCCAGCTAAATTTTATTTGGACGCCTATATTTACTGATGCTACAGTTTTTCAAACACGAGAGTAAAAAGATCTGGTTAGTTACAACTTAGTTTTATTAATATTTGTTTTCAAGGTATTTTTGAAATTTATTAGTACAAAGAAGAGATAAATTCGAATAAACACACACAAACCGTAGTTTATAATATAAGATTCTTTAAAAAATAAGAAAATGAGACAAAGTGGGGGGAGTGATACTGTTAGTTATTGAAATATAACAATTCTTACGCTACGCGCCAAGTTCTGTGCTTTCAGTCAACCAGTTCGTGTTGAAGTGAACGCGGGAAAATAGCACTGCATGTGTTCTTGTGATTGACTATAGTTTATAGGCTTATGATTTTCTTTCTACAAAGGTATGAATTAAACTTATATTTAAATCACCCCTTTGTACCCTCGCCATTTTTTCACAATTGGCTTTTAATGCATTTGTAATTATTATTGTTTTTCGCGTACTAGTTTTCTAAAAATAAGACTTGAACATGCCGCAGTCATATAAAGGCAGGTAAAAATATTTTCTTTACAAGAGCAGTACTTGAGGGATGAATGGAAGTGACTTTCATTCAACAATTTTTTATTACATCGTAAACATTGAAACCATATTTCCGGCTTCTGGTTTAGTGCATTGTCGTCATAAACCTCATAATTATTTAATCAACCTTGTGGATTGGAGTCAATTTTGATATAAATTTTTGATTTATTTGAGCGCTCAAAATTTTAAAATCAAATTAATTAATTAATGTGCGAAACGGTATTTAAACGTCTAGACTACTATTGAGTGAATATCAGTAATCAATTTTTATTAATTTTATTTTAAATAAATCCCAGTTGCTCAGCATGTGTTTATCTAAAATAATTAAAATGTTAATTAGTTAGAAAAAAGCCATAAATTTTGCATAACAGGTACAGCAAGATCTGTCTAAAGTCACTATAGAACGACCGTGAAAAGATTGTCCCCTCTCTAGACGACACACAGATAACACGCCCTTTTCCAACAGGTAAACCGATAAGACATGTCGCCCCCCAACAGTGCTCCTCCAGGAAACGCCGAAACTGAGTACCTCAAGGTCCCCACTGAAACAAAACCTGAAGAACAACAACCCTTGAACGATTTAGTCCCCGAAGACGATGCAGAAGTCGTCGTACCCCCCGACGGGGGTTGGGGTTGGGTCGTTGTTTTTGCCTCTTTCATGTGTAATATGATCGTTGATGGAATCATTTTCTCCTTTGGAGCTTTCATCGAACCAATTAAAGACGAATTTCACGTCACGAAAGCATATGTAGCACTCGTGGGGTCCCTCATGTCCGGGTTTTATCTTATCGCCGGGCCTTTTGCTAGCGCTGTGGCCAATAGATACGGATTTAGACTGGTCGCAATCATGGGGAGTGTGCTAGGGGCTGCGGCATTCGCCTTGGCCAATTTCGCCCCCAACGTGGAGTATCTCTGCGTCATGTTTGGAGTCATAGGAGGTGAGAATCATATTTCAACCACAAACAAATGATAACACCAATCGAAATCATGTGTTTTCTAAAAACTGAAATTTGATTAATTTTATTGTCCATTTTGATATTACATGCGGGGAAAAGGGTTTTTTTGGTTGTTCTTGGACGTTAAATTGAAAACTTGCCGACGTAATTTTTTATTTGCCGTTCATTATCTTGTAGGATAGCACAGTGTTTTTTCTTTTATTTTAACCTTTTCCCTGAAATTTTGAGAATGTTGAGAATCGTAAATTTCAACGTGGCCTTGTCGCGCGAAACTTGTTATGTAATGTCTGGCAAATATGAATAAATTTTTTGCACTCCCACTGATGATTTTTTTTGCAAAGGTATTGGATTCGGGTTTATCTACGTGCCTTCGATTATCACCGTCGGCTTTTATTTTGAAAAATGGAGAGCCTTGGCGACCGGAATTGGAGTTTGTGGTTCCGGTATTGGAACCTTTATGTTTGCTCCCATAACAGCATACCTGATCGAGAACCTTGGTTGGAGAACTGCAATTTTGTGCCAAGGCACTATTGTTTTTGCTTGTGGCAGTTTTGGTTTTCTCTATAGGTAACTAAAACTCTTTTATGGTCCCACTTGTCTAAAAAATAATTTTTCAGGCCGTTAAAACCGACAAAGGTTCAAGAGATTAAAGACAATGACGGAGAGACTGAATTAAAAATGGACCCGAGCAAACTGCCCCCTATCACGAAAATGAAGATGGAGTTGGCTTTAGAAGCAATGAAGAGTAATGAGTCTTGTAACACCAGTCAAGCCTCAATAAATCGCATGTTGGGTGTTAATAACAATGCGAATTATCCTCGAGTTTCGGATGTGTATCATACAATCAGCATACCGCAGCAAAGGGCCTTGGATGGGTCTTGTTACGAGAAAAGACTGAGTGTGCCTTTTATTTCTGAAGCAGATCGAATGCAAAATTCAGGAGCGAAAGAATGTTTACTCCAGAATAAAAGTACAAATCCTATTATAGTTCCTAAAGGTTCAAGACGAGGTTCTGCTGTCGACCCTGAGGTTAATAGACCGATGTACCGAGACGATATCTTCTTCAACGCTAGCTTAACACGTTTACCTCAGTACACGTCTCGAACATCAATAGCTTACAACTTATCAGTCACGCGATTACCAACGAAGAACGATATTGAGGAAGAGAAGAAAAGTTCTTGCAAGATGTGCCCAGAAGCCGTTAAACGAACACTTGCAACAATGCTCGATTACAGTTTACTCTGCTCTCCCACCTTCCTCTTGCTTGCACTTGGCGGCTTCTTCACCATGATGGGCTTCTACGTCCCTTTCATGTTCCTTGTGAGTCGAGCAGAGAACGCAAATCTGGCAAAGGAATACACGAGGTTCCTCATCTCCGCCATTGGTATTTCCAACACAATTGGGAGAGTTTTGTGTGGGGTCCTCAGTTCTTTTCCCGGTGTTAATGCACTGTTTGTGACCAACGCAGCATTGACGATCGGAGGGATTGCGACGATATTCAGCGGTTTTTCCATGACACCGGAATATCAATTCTTCTACACGGCGGTGTTTGGATTAGCTATTTGTAAGTATTGGAACGTTAAATGGAACCGGTTTGTCTGACTCGTCTTTATCATTTTAGCAACATTTGCGTCGTTGAGGTCAATCGTGGTGGTGGATCTTTTGGGACTGGAAAAGTTAACAAATGCGTTTGGGTTGCTTCTGCTGTTCCAAGGTGTGGCTGCGATTTTTGGTGCTCCGATTGCAGGAGCGTTTACAGAAGCCACTGGGAGTTACGATGCCGGATTTTATTTGTCGGGGAGTTTGATTCTTGCATCGGCTGTTATGTGCTACCCTTTGAATTATATCAATCGGCGCGAAATGCAAAAGAAAAAGGAAAAGTTGGAAAATAAATCAGTACCAGTTTAATGATTATTTATGAATAATCTTTTTGCATAATTCATGATTTTCCACGTTCCTATTTAAATGGGTGCTACGTCACTGCAACTACGTATTGAGTTGTTTGGCAGGGGATTTTTAATACTCGAATTTTGTACGCTTGTACTTTAACTATAATGACAGGGTTTATATACGACGATTTTTCAAGACTGATATAGTTTTAAGATCTGTACATATTGTATTTAAAGCTATAATTTAACATAATTGATCAATGGAAAATTATGGAATTTACCTAATTAGTTTAGATTTTATATAATTGCTGAACTGTTATTTATGACACCTATTCTTGTTGGACATTCCAATGTTTCATTACCATTAGGAGGAATTTTCCTGTATTGTACGTAAATTATTCTACTCTAGCTATAGACCAAATTGTTAATTTGATACAAACAGAACCTTTAATTACTTTGTCAAAGTAAAAAATAAAAATTGTTGTTTTGAGATTTGCCTTTTAGTCCCAAAGTTGAACTGTCCTATATTTTGAAAAGTTAAATTTTTACCGGGCTTCAAACTTTTTGATGTTTTTAATGAAATTGGATTTAGCTTTTTTTGTTTTAATGAAAAAAATACAAATATGTTGGCTATATTTTATACAATTTTCTACTTCTTTATTTCTAGTAATTTTTTATTAATTTTGAATTCCACTTAGTTTTAGTTTTCTTTGCTACATTTTACTTAATTTCAGCCTCACATTTATTTAATGATCGGAAATAAAGTTAATACCGGATTAAAAAAATCAATTATGAAGATAAATTGGTTTAACAAATTTCGATTTTCAATGTTTTTAATGCAGACAACTAAAGCGCTCCTGAAACGAAGTAATAATTCTCATGCCAAAGTTACTAAATTACCAGCGAATACTGAATGAAATTTTGGGTAGAAATTAAAGATGATGATAAGGAAGGTGAACGTTTCAAACACTGTTTTTTTAGGTATTTTCAACTCGATTTGTTTTGCAATGTCATTTGAAATACAGGGTGTTTGAGCCTTTTTTCACGCGATGTAGCTCTTCAGGTCAGGTTTAGGGTTAAGTTTTTGGCCGTTCAGACGATATATTCTTGACTTTAGTTACTGGAAATGGCAGATTGCAACATTAAACAGATGTTGAAAAAAATCACCAATTTGTGTCTTATGGCGATGACTTTTTGGCGAAGAAATCAAATTTTGGCTAGATTACATCCAAATTGTGGGACTATGATTTTTGTTATCGACAAGCAGTGAGAATATGGGGTTGTTCTGGGTCTATGGTTCTTCAGTGTTGTCAATTATGATCTGCAAAATATTTAAATCGCCAAACATAGCGATTATCCATTAACATATAGTTCTAGATGCCAAATAAGAACCACAGAGAGACAAGACCGCCATTTAACATTTCTTTCATTTAAAAATTATCACACGGCAGTAAGAGGGATTGTGAGGTTCTGACATTCAGTAATGTGATGACTTTGCTAAAAAAATATCGTCTTAAAACTCCGGAGCTACCGTCGACATTTGCTTTTCCTTTAAACTCGTCAACATCGTTCTTCTTGCAATTGTATAACTTTCTGTCGTTCATCGTGCATCCAAAAACAAAATGTAGATTTTTCCAAGAAGATTAACGAATTCTATTATTTCTATTGAGCATCCCAAATTACATAGTACCTACGTCTCTTGCTGCACCAGTTCAGACTGGACAAAAATGTTCATGAGTTGAAAGTAAAACCAAATGAGAAATGGTAGACTCGGAGCCCCAAGATCGTATCTAATGATAAATTGTCATCAAAATAATCACCTTACCCACTACTTATATACTTATAGTGATAGTGAACCACGCTGTCGCAAACCGTGATAGTTAGTGATTTCTAAATGATAGAAGTGCTAAGTGCTTGTCTTGTTTCTCAGTGATTCTTGTACGAGATGTACAATTTTTTAAATAGCGATCTGTGTATTCCACAGACCATGTTTGTCAATACTGAGGAACCACACACAGAAAAAAACTATTCTCACTGTTTGTTAAAACACTATAATACTATCGTTAGTTAAAACAATTACAACCAATAAATTGTTAAAAAAGAAATAAAAAACATTAAGAGAAAAGTGACAAAAATTACGATATTCACAAGAAAAGGATTATTTTTATTCGAATTTTAGTTTAACTTTGTATAACGCATGAATTGAATATCTTCAAAAATTTTTGATTATTTCTTGGTGTTTTGTTTTTTTTTGATAATCTCAGGAAGAAAAGTATCAGCTTTCAAATTCCGCTTTAGAAAATTCAACTGGTTTTGTCAAACTCAGATCTTATCAAATTAACTGAACATGTGGTTTGAATTTCAATCGATTTCAAAATAAAACAATCAGAATATGTAACTGCTTCAGCTTTTATGGAGGAAAACAAAAACCTTAAGTAAAATACTTACAAAATTTTGACAAATTTTTGATAAAGATGAAAGAAAAAAAAAGAGAATGATTTTGATTATTTTTTGGATTGTTATTCATTTCGCGTAAACTTTTTTAAGAAAACAGACAAACCAGAATTGACGTCTGTCACAAAAGTCAACATATGTGCAAAAATGGACGACGAAGAAAGCAGAGTTTCAGTAGCAGCATATTCAATGCAATCCACGGCCTCAAGTTACAAATCTTCATTTAAACTAAACGAAGATGAATACATTGACACGTATATAACAATTCCTCCCGACGGTGGCTGGGGATGGATTGTAGTTTTTGCTTCGTTTCTGTGCAATTTCGTAGCAGATGGAGCTTTATACACCTTTGGAATATTCTTAGGTGACATAAGTAAGACCTACAAGTCGAAAGCATCAACTATAGCATTAGGAAATTCGCTAATGACCGGTTTCTATTACATGTCGGGTATTTGAAACTCGTTTATCTTGCCCAAATAACAGTCAATTTCCAGGCCCGATTACTTGTGCACTTGTTAATCGTTGGGGTTTTCAAATAACTGGAGGTCTTGGAGGACTTGTAGCAGCGGCAGCTTTTTTCTTTAGTCCCATGACAAATTCTGATTTTGCTTTTGTGTGTGTTTTTGGTATTGTTGGTGGTTTTGGATTTGGTCTTGTTTATGTGCCGTCAATTGTTGCTGTTGGATTTTATTTCGAGAGATGGAGAGCTTTGGCCACTTCCATAGCTGTGACCGGCTCTGCTGCCGGTATTGTGGGATTCCCCTTGATAGTAGAGGGTGCTTTGGGTAAATACACTTGGCAAACTAAATTCAAAGTCATTTCTGGCTTTTGTATCGTAACAACGTGTTTGGCTCTACTTTACCGCCCATTGAAACCAAAAAGAGTTTGGACAACGAAAGATAAAAAAGTTGTTCAGTTCACATCTGGAGATGTTGCTGATTCAATTGGCTCGTTTCACCTTGAAGAGAAGCCGCCTGGGTTTCTTAAGCGGATCATTAATCGATTTCACAATATTACGTATCCAACTCATGCCCAGTTACACAAAGAGTCAACATTTGTTATAAATTTTCCGATCGGACCAAGCACTTCTTCGGTTTTCATCACAAGTGTGCCGGAAGGAAGTATGACCACTTTTATGCGAACCAATGCTTCGAGAAGTGAAATGCGATCAGAAAGACTTGACAAACTCAGTACCGTCTACGAGGATGAATCCGATACGAAAAAAAGTTGCAAAAAGTGTTGCAAAAAGTGCTGTGGTTTGAGAAGAAATGGAGCTTTCAACAGACCGATGTATCGAGACGATATTTTTTACACCGGATCATTGTACACTCTACCACCACAAGTTTCACAAGTTTCAAAGATAAATAGAGTAAAAGCAAATAGTTGTTAATTGATACGAAATAATTTAAATTAAATTTAGATGCCGCAAATGAAGAGTTTGGATTATACTCTTTCTGTAACAAGAGCTGAGGTTTTAAAAGAAGGTACTGAAGAAAGACTGCATTGGAAATGTTGTCCTGAATCTGTAATAAGAACTTTAGTCACTATGCTAAACTTTGATTTATTGAAATCACCATCGTTTGTTTGTCTGGTTTGCAGTGGTTTCTTCACGCTACTGGGGATGTTTGTCCCTTTTATCTACCTTATACAAAGAGCAGATGAAAATAACATTAGTAGAGATGTATCGTACCACTTGTTTACAGCTTTGGGAATATCTAATGCATTAGGACGCATTATAAGCGGAATCATTTCATCCCTCCCCAAAGCAAAACCTCTGATTGTGTCATGCATCAGCTTATTTATTTGTGGATTATCCACTTTTGTATCTTATTTTTTAAGAGATGTCTACAGTCAGTTTATCTACGTCAGTATTTTTGGTTTAACTATCGGTAATTTTCCTCAAGTGTTTAATCGAAGAATAATCAAACCAATACTTGCAGCTTGTTTGGCCTCTTTAAGAACTCCGATTGTTGTTGAGTTGTTAGGATTAGAAAATTTAACAAATGCGTTTGGATTATTACTACTCATCCACGGAATTGCTGGATTTTTAGGGATGCCTATCGCTGGAAGAATTGTAAAATTGGCAAATTCTTACAACAGCGCCTTTCTTTTCTCAGGGAGTACTTTAATGTTAAGTGCCGGTTTGCTAATCCCAGTAAAACGGATATCAGAATGGGAACAAAATAAAAGAAAAATTTAATAATGTTTATTGAAAGTTTGTAAAAACATCTAAGAAAAGAATTAAATGCGATTAAATAGTTTACATACTGGTTCCTTGCGTCCAATTTCTTTCTGAACTTTTCACAAAAGTTGAGTATTAAACGTTTTATATAAATACAATAAATTGGATTGTGACGGCAGCGCCGTTTCAGAAACAAATCGTCGACGCGCGTCTTTTATTGATCGTTCGCCTACAGCTGCTACTGCAACTGGCCATCGATTCCATCACACGGAACACGCAGTGTTCCTGTGTTCCGAGCTGGTGATCGAGTCCAAAAATGGAAAGTAGAGATTTCGACTACCCCAGAAGTGGGGTTCCCCAGCCCCAACCTGGGATACGTCCATTGGTTGATCCGGAAGCTCACGGCGAAGTCGATCCTTCCATGTAAGCCTCTTACTCGCAGTAGACATTTTTATCAGAAAATCTTCACAGGTATCCACAACCCAAAGAAGCAACGCACAAAATACGAGGGAAATCTGATGTTCTCGAAATGTTATTTGGGCCAGTGGACCAGGAATTGTTGATTGTGAAGAGCTTTTATTTTTTCTTTTATTCTGCTTTCGGGTCGTTGTTTCCGCTCATGGGGGTGTATTTTAAACAAATGGGGATGAATGCGGGACAGTGTGGGTTTTTGATTGGGATCCGACCGTTTGTGGAGTTTTTATCGGCACCGTTTTGGGGGACTTTGGCCGATAGATGGCAAAAGGGAAAATTGCTGCTTCTGGCGTCACTAGCAGCTTGGATTATTTTTACAGTTCCGTTAGGCTCGATACAGCCGCCACCGACGTCTTGTATAGAAATCAAAAACAACACAGCTGTCTTGACAGCGCCTAGCGTGAACACCAGACTGATAAATAAGAGGTCAGTGATGATGGAACAGTTGCAAGAATCCGAATTTGAACGGTACGCTGATTCCAAAATGTTTATTTTTTTGTAAAGTCCATTTTTAGGTATACAAGGTTCGAACGCGCTACCAGACCTATACCAAACGCTGGTCAGTCACCAGTCAATGTCGATTTTGCGTCCAATTACAAACCCAAAGATCACGATAGTTGGGTACAACCAATAATCTCCTCCATAGTTTATCGCACTCAAGATATCCAAAAAGCGTTCTTCCTCCTTATTCTTCTAGTCATAATCGGCGAATTTTTCAGTGCTCCTGCTATAACTTTAGCGGACTCTGCTGTAATCACTCTTCTAGGCGAAGATGCCGATCGTTACGGCCACCAGAGGATGTTCGGTTCCCTAGGATGGGGCTTAGCAATGTTCTTTGTTGGGATAGCACTAGATCATTCTACAGCCTTCCCCAACCATCCTTGTGGACCCGACAAAAAAGAAAAAAACTACACGATTTGTTTCGCAATTTTTTCCGTCCTCATGGGGGCGGCTTTAATAACAGCAACTCAGATCACTTTCAAATACGAAGACCCTCCGCCGGCTCCAGTAACAACCACCGATACAGAGAAACAGTCAGCCCCTTTGTCACACGAAGACCAACTGCAAGCCCAACTTGCCGAGCAATTGCAATTGCCATCACTTGCTGATACCAGAGCTTCAGTAAATACCCAACCAGCCGAACAAAAGGTATTTATAATAAAAAATATCCAAACTTGAATTATCTCGCTGTGTTTTAGACAAAAATTTTTGCTCAAACCACACGCGAAATGCCCGAGTGGGTTACAGTTCTTCAACAATTTAAAAATTTGAAATGTGCTTCGTTTCTTTTCGTGGCATGGTTTATGGGTTTTGGCATAGGTTTGATCTTTACTTTCCTTTTCTGGCACTTGCAAGATTATGGAGGTTCACCGACTCTTTTCGGAGTGGCTTCTGTTATCAATCACATATCGGAAATTTTTGCCTACTTTTTCAGTTTTAGATTGATTAGGCAGATGGGACATGTGAAAGTACTATGTCTTGGACTTATTGGCAATACTCTGCGATTTTTGTACATTTCCTGGCTTTCCAATCCGTGGTGGGTGCTCCCATTCGAATTCATGCAGGTAAATATCACTCTATGTTAAAGTTGCATATTTATTGCCACGAATTTTCGTCTTTATTATTGTTATTATTATTATTAGAAATCATATTTCAAAAATAATAAAAAAATAAATTATAATTCCATATTAAATTTCTACAAATCAAGGCCGTTTTTATATTATTTGTAGTTTTGATGAGTTTGACATAAACCTAAGATGTAAGTTATTACGCTGAAAAATTTTGAAATGTCTGACTTTTTTCTCTTAAGATTTGAATACTTTTTCTTAGAATATCAAATTTTTGAAAAAATCCTAGTAGCGCAGTTTTATAACTATTATATAACCATCATTTAATACAACGGGCAGCTCATAGATGTGATGCTCTCTCTTTGAAGATATATGTTATATGTTCTGGTTACCCGCCGTTATATTGCGGATATGTTTAGGTATCTAACTTCTATTTACGTATGGTTGTATCGCGCTTATATAACCAATTTATATTTTTCTTATATAACTTTTTGTGTAAGATTTATTAATTACGATGAGAATTTTTTTTTAATCTGACTTTTTCTCTTAAAATTGGAATATTGTTTCTTGGAATAGCAAATTTTTGAAAAAGATACAAAGTCGGAAAAAATCACTTTCAACTTATTATGTGTAATATTATTATGGAAAAAATAAAAACTCTTAATGAGAGTCTTGTAATTAGGAAGCGAAAAGAAGAATAAAGGTACTACGTCTTTATAATAAATAAAAGAACTAAACGCTTGACTTTTTCATTTCAAGACGTGATAATTGTCACAAATTTAAAACAATAATATTAAGAGACTTCAAATAAAATTAAAAAGAAAGATAAAAAATCTAAAATAGAGATTTTTTTAGAAAAGATAACAATTTTTTAAAAGAATACAATTATAAAAAATCTACAGTTTTTAAATTTGAGCTTTACTTGAAATTAACAGAATATCATTAAATAATTGTAAATGTAAAAAACTAAAACTTGAAGACTTCATTTAAACGAAAAAAATCCGAAAACAAGATTTTAAGAAGCTATTAAGAAAAAAACTCTTAGAACCTCATATTTTTCAAGAGTAAATATGTAATTTAAAATGTTAACAATTTAAAAAACATGTGTATGAAAACTCTGCGAATAAAGATTTTAAAAATTTAAAAAATAAATTAAAAACCCTTGAATCTCCTTTAATGAAACGAGATTAAAGTTTAAGTAATTTTAAATGAATTTGAAATCTTAACGAAAAATTTGTTTCGTAGCTATTTATTAAGGTTCTAAACGAGCTTATTTGTTCGTTATTTTACATTGTTAGAACAAAAAATCAGTTATTATTATTTTTTAATTTCAGGGAATAACTCACGCCGCCGTGTGGGCAGCTTGCTGCTCCTACTTGGCCCACAACACCCCTCCTCAGCTCCGTTCATCTGCTCAAGGGGTGCTCCAAGGCATCCATCACGGTCTTGGTCGTGGATGCGGTGCCGTAATCGGTGGCCTATTCGTGAATTCTTTCGGATCCACGGCCACTTTCAGAGGTTACGGTCTAATATGTCTCCTAGTCCTTGGAGCTTTCATCTTCATCAACTTTTATCGTGTGGATCAAGGATTCGTCTCTGATTTACCACAAACCGAAGATCCGAGACAAGTTGCCGAAGAAACTTCCCATCTTGCACCTCATGGTGTTCCAAGTAACCCGATTCCGCGAGCTTTATCTAGCACTAGACTTCACGAACTCTCTCAACAAGATGGATACGGCGCTACTTACCAGATGGGACAAGGGGGAACTCTGGATATTCCGGGAGGAGGGGGAAACAATACTTTCATGCAACAGAGTACCAATGATCAGCGCTATTCTGGGTTCCAGGTAAGAAGTAAGTACTGATTTTATTCGATCGCTAGACCTGTTGGTTTTGTGGTGTTTTTAATGCGGTTTGGTGTTTCAGATGAATACTAATTTGGTTCAATATTCGTGCGGATTTTCATCTGAGTTTACCACTCTTCAGACACAACAACCACTCACGACGGCTAGCTGTAGTTATGATTGGTAATAACCGAAAATGTCATAAATATATTCATTTTATTAAATGTGTGGTAATTTGAGCGGTAAGTAAAATAAGTAAATGGTAGTCGAATGGTATAACGAAAGAAACAAATTATCGAAATCTGCTGTTACACACCATATGATCTCATATCATTTTAAGTAGAGGTTTATACAAAGTGTTGTAGGACTATTATTAGTTGTTGTAGACATTTAAATTTGGAGAGAAAAATACTCAAACCTATATTTTATATGTTTTTTAAAAACGTCTATAAGGTTAAAATATCGTTGTTTCTAATCAATGTTGCAAAAGCGGAGTACATATTGTGTGGTATGCCTCTACGACATACAATTTTTTTTTGCGTTAATGTTAACCAAATGTGTAAAAATTTATCGGTATTGTACAAAATAGTTGTTAATGTGGAGTTATTTGTTTTTATTTTTAAATTTTATTTGTTGTAGATAGTGTACATTATATTTAAGGTGTGGCTTCGTGCTCATGTTGTCGCACTGGTGTAGTCTTACTCTTAGAACCAGTTTCATAATTTCTACTAACTACGACTGATAAGTGATATAACTAATAACAACAATCATTGCAAATAATTGAAACTGGTTTTAAATTATTTTTGTTGCCATTTATCACAATATATTTGTTGATTATCAGTGTGTAAATTATAAAAAAGACATAGCTTTTTATTGTTTACGCATAAATGCAAGGGGGAACTACTAGTTGATGTTTTATTTAAGTAAAAATGTTCCGTCTTGTGTTTACGAAACACTAAGTGACATCCTTAGTCTATACATATCCAGAAAAAGTATTACATAACAAACAGTTGTTGAAAACAATCTTAAAACCATTATTTATATAAAAAAGCACCTTGTATTTATCTGTATATGTGAAATATAATATAGTCGCACTACGATGTTACTTAATTTTAAGCTAAATTTATTTATAATCCTGGATAAGTCGTCGCATTTGTTTTCAAAATGAAAAATAAAAGACCTTTAACAACTGAAAATTTTATTACAAACAATAAATATTGCTTCGAGGATTGAAAAATTGGTCTTGATGAACACATTTACGTTTATTTCCGCAAAATTAATATAACATTTTATATCACAACATATGGATAGAAAATATTTGTCTTTAGAAATACTGACTGTAGAAATATTCTAAAGCTACAGATCTATCGTGACTGTACAAGAAAAAAATTAACTAACGTGTGTTTTCTCATAAAATACATCATTGACTAGTTTTACATTTAATTAGAACAATTTTACAGACATTTTTTGAAAGGCTGTGTCTGCTTTCACACTAGCGTAGAAAGCGTGGAAATAGTATTTTGAAACCAGATTTGGCACTCTTGAACTATGTTTTAGCGCCTTTTTAGAATAACAAGTTTTGGTTCAAGTTGAGGAGCAAACCGTTATTCTTAGCAATTTAAAAAATTCAAATATGCAAAAATATCTGTATTACATTTTTTACAATAAAAGGAATGAAAATCATGTGTCGAATTTAGTCTCTGTTATTATTGGATACTAAATTTTTTATATAAAAAAGTAGAGTAATAATTTGTGGTGTTTACTCCCCTTATTAGTTTACAAAACTGGATTGTCAGGTAGCTCGATTATAATTTTTTTTACTTGGCAATTATCAGCCTCGCAGCAGTCTCTTTCTGTAATTTTGGGTAGGGCAAAAGAATTGGCTGAGACTGTATATGGTTCCATTAGGGCTTTTGGGTTAAGTAGAACTTGCAGTAGTTCGTTACCTGTTTGACACGAAAGAGTTCTTTTTTGAGGAGGCACTACTCCAACGTCTCTTCCTGAAACCGTGCTCTCCTTCCAGCTGTTATTTGAACTTTTTTCCGAAACAGCGGAAGCCACTCTTGAGCCAATATGGCACCTGATAGTTTTACTCGTGGTGAAAAGTGCCCGATTGTTTCTTTCAGGCTTCACAAGAATTATATAGAGTTTAGGAACGAAAAGAAAGACCCAAATCACCATAGCACTGAGAGTTACACACATGCACAAAGTGATGACTTTTGAGTCACTCCCGAAGTAGATTGGAACGAAAGCAATCCAGATGACACAAGTGGTGTACATTGCGAAACCAATGAATTTAGCTTCGTTGAAATTTTCCGGAACGTTTCGCGTTTTAACGGCGTAGATAGTGCAGAGAATGATGAGGAAGAAGTCAAAGGCTAGCGGAACAACGATGGCTTCTGGAGTCGTGTCGCATTCTAGGAGGGTTCTCGTGGTGGAGTAGACATGTGCGATGTTGGGGAATTGATAATGGAGCATCCCCCCCGAGATGAAAATCTCGATAGCTATTAGGAAGCAAGTGATGACGACTTGGGCCGTTGCCGACATGAAGAGGGGTTTCCTCGTGGGAAACCTCTTCTTGCTCCCTGCCAGAATCCTCGCAATTCGGTTAGTTTTAGTCAAAAGCGCTGCATACATCATCGCAAAGCTCAATCCCGGCAAAACGCGACTCAACGCGCACGAAATCATCGACGGTTTCATGAGAATAGCAAACACGCTAGCGTGCGAAACACTCATTCCCGCTAAGATAATGTAACACAATTCTTTGGTGGAAGACTTGACGACTGGAGTGTCGTTGTATTTCATAAAAACTACAAACGCGAAGAATGTGCTGAGGAAGCCCAACGAGGCGAAAATCATGGCGACGATGGCCTGAGTGTCCCACCACTGCATGTGTTCGATGGGCAGTTGGAGACACTCTGAAAATCGCTCGGTCAGTTAAGGGATTTACGGACTTCGTGACGTTTTTTACTAAGTTTTAGTTCGTCCGGCACGAATCCTTGCGGGCAGCGATGGCAACTCTCTCCTTCCTCATCGAGGATCTCTCCGCTGGGACATGGCACGCAAACCCAGCAACAACGCTTGTCCTTTCCGCCCTGCTGGACGTTCTGAAAAAGTCGACTGGAATGGAATATCAATTTTGTATTCAGCGAAAGGGTAGATGTGTTACGGGATTGCGGAGAGATAAGAGATTTTCGGTACTTTGATGGCTGCTAGCTCAGCTGAAATTTTACTATCGCTCTATTAACTACAAAGGAAGTTGAATCTGATGTTATGTATTACATAAATTTACAAAATTGCATACTGGGACGGCCCCAATGTTTCAATCTTATCAAATGCCAATAACTTTTTTCATCTTGACAAAAAAAATAAGAAAAAAACTGACAAATGCAAGGTACTTTTTAACATCATTTGCAAATTTTCTTGGTTTCTGAAATATTTTCACTGAGATACCTTATCACTAGTTTTACATTTGTTTGATCAATATTTAATGAAAACTATAATGACGGAAATTCAAAAATATATTTATATGTAAATGGTAAAAACACTAGATTTGTTATGCTTTTAATGGAATCGCTGTTAAGTGGATCATTACGATGCATCGATTTTAAATTTGAATTTGCGTGGAGTAGGTTATTTTATAAATTATTTGATATTGAATTCAATAAACGCGTTCGTCGAATATATTATTGGATTTTTTGCAAGTTTCTATTATATAAAATATTATTATCTGTTGATGAAATATTTAAAATGCAATAAAAAATTTGATTTTAATAAACATTTGGATCGGAGTGGAGAGATATTTACGTTTAGTGGTTTAGTTAATTAAATTGGATTGTTTTCAAAAGTTTATACGTTGCTTGCAATTGGTGACAAAATAATTGTAATTTCATAAATTCGCTACATCAACGATTTATAATATGCGCCAACACGCATGGGTTTTAACTCACGCGGTTTTTATAACAATTCTATGATTTATACATATGCATATTTGTTAAATTAAATTTTGTGCTACAATAGTACAATAGTATATTAAATATACAATAGTATATTAAAGAACGCGTTTTATAAGGCAAGTTTTGTGGAACGAGTTCAGGTTCACCACCTGAAATTAAAAAAACGCTCAAAACGCCGCTGAAAATGATCATTATCAACCTGTAGAAAGTAAATTGTACTAGTCTATTTCAGCACCTGAATTGGTGTTGAAATGGCTCATTAAAGCATCGGTTTTGGTTTCGAAATAAACTCTTTCAGACTCAAAATAGAAAAAATGCTCATTGTGACACCGAAATAGAATTCCAATTTGTGTGATCATCAGAAAGACAAACAAACAATAATAGAAGGAAACCTTTTCTCAGAATATAATAAAAACACTAAAGTACAGTTTACTGTAGATTATTATCTATATCTACTTTTTGTTCTAGTTTCCCTATTTTTTTTCACATTTTCCTTGTTCTAAATATTAATAATTAATGATGTACTTTTATAAAATTTCAGTAATAAATGGTATTGCAAATTTCAATCTCGATTACAGTTTAACAAGCAAAAGGAAATAATTTCGATTCCAATATAGTTTGAGGAAAATGTTATTTTCTATCTGATGAATTAATTAAATGATGTAACTTTTTTACAGAATGGACGTTTTAATGACTTCGAACAGTGTTCGAACAAATTGAATTGTATGCAATTTTCTGGAGGAATAAATGAATAAACTTTTAATTAAAATTTCAATATCATAGTAATGTGTATAGAGTTTGAAAAAAAATAAATATCGGGTTCTGTATGTTATAAACATGTTAAAAATGCATGTGTGTTGATACTTACTTTGTAATGTCCTTTTGGACATTCCTCTGAGCAAACCGACTTGACATTTCTGCTTTTACCAAACTGCACCGGTCTTGACTGATTCCACCACAAACTTCTGTTGTGCCAATTTCCAACCTGGACATAATCAAAGCTCCCATCCTCGAGCTTCTGATAATTCATAATGTCATAACGTCCTGGGGGATCTCCGTTTTCATCAAATTCTATTATCTCTTCGTCATACTCAAAGGTAACATTCATCAGATAACTCTGAAAAATCAAATATTTCAGCGTGTCTTCGTTAATTCGCAAGAATCTGACGCGGAAAGAGATCGAAGTGTGTAGCTTTTACGTTCCGTAAAGCTAAAAGCTCACTCGGACGTGTTTATTCGGTTTCACTCTTATAAATCAGCATAAATCGAATTTTGCTTTAAAAGTCGATAAAATAGTTATGGGGATTGGGGAATTGTCACATATAAAACGGTTCTAGTTACTTTAACTTTTAATATTTTGTTATCGTGTAGTCATAACTTGTTGTAAAACGACTCTTTGCAATTTTGTGATCCTGTTTCTACACAGAATTAAATAAAAATTTCAAAAACGTACAAGTTATTCAAGGGTATATTGCCGCAAGTTTGCTCCTCTGCATATTTTATTACTCACATTATTTGTTGTGGACAAAACTGCATTTTTTTCAGTATAATATAAAAGTTATTATGGGCTTTTCAAAAGGGATGTAAAATAACGTAACAAAAACTTTTACAAAATTCCTATATTGTTGCAAAAAAGTTGCTCTAAGCTCAAATTATAGGATGTTTTAGACTATAATATTTTATTTTTTTATCTGATTTCAAATGTTAGTAAATGATATATTTTATACTAGCTGTGATCTGTTCCTTTGTGGCATTTTTCAATGTTTGCTTAGAACGTACCTTAAACAAGGACCCATTGAAGGGCAGGAGCTTTTCACACGTTCCGGTCGTTCCGGGCCCACACTTGTCCTGCTGCATGTCATGTAAAGCGTGCGCTAAACTGTACACAGCTTTAATAACAAAGCTAAGCTTAGAATCTTGCCGATATTTGTCTAGCAAACTCTCTTCACCTGAAAAATATAATTATGTTAGGAAAACTTGTAAACATGAAAAAGCTCAAAAGCCGGACACTTCAAGCGCGAGAATTTCTAATTGGTAGCTTTTTCTAAAGAAGGTTATTTTTAGTTGATTTAATTATTATTATCGCTAAATGGTTAATGGAGGTTGATCTTTAAGTCATCTCTCTCAAAAGAAGGGAGCTTTTGAATTGAAATCGCGAAAACATTTCAACTGCTAATTAGCGATGACAAAACTAGTAATTAATTTAGTGGAATATTCATCATTCAAAGCTGTCGTCATTTTGTGAAAAACTAAAGGGCCGAATACATTAAAACTTCTTTGGTACCAAAGTTGGAAAGTTCATATTTATTTCATTTGAGTGTCACGTGTATTACATCTGGAAATTATTGTTAAAACCATTTTATAAATTGGTTTATTAACAGTACATAGCATTCCAGTACAAACCTGTTTTCCGCAAACAATGTTAAATGCAGTTGATTGATGATGATTTATAAACTACTATGAATAATTTCGTCATTCGACTACGAATAAATGCACCTCGAATGTCTAATGATCTAATTTTTCAAAGCTTTGAAAATAGGAATTTTTTATGATTTGTTGTGGAAACGTATGGGATTTTCTGATTGAAACTGACAAATGATGAAATTAATATCTTTCTGTAAAAACACTTTCATATTTGATATTATGAAATGATGCCCAACAGATTTTCCAAAATCAATAAAAAGTTTTTTTATCTAATTTTAGTTATTTCATTTACGTTTCCCCAAAAATTTAGATAAAATACTCTGGAAAACTGTTTCTAATATCAATTTTATCTTCTGAAAATATTAACCTCTCCAAAGCAACCCAATATATTTTTTAATATCTGCTCCCTTTTTCTTTGAGTATAGTTGAGAAATTTTCCAAAATTGATTATCTCAAATAGTTGTACATTTACAAAACCGTCAGCTTATTAAAGACAATCTTTTAAAGATGATACTCGAGAGTAAACAGGCGTTCATTGCGAATAAAAATTGCTTTTCTTTGTGACGAAGCAAATGCGTTCCTGTTGCCTCAAGCGTCCCGCTAATTTTTCTAGGCCCTTTTTTACAGATTTGTATTGCTTCTGTTTATTGAAACTAGCACAGGCATTATCTAAAGAATAAACTGTTGCGGGTATTTCCAGTTATATTCACACTTTGCGAAACAATGGGTTATTATTTGAAACAAGAAATACTTTGATTAACGTCTTAATTAAGAACGTGATATGCCTCTAAGGCTTCATTAATAAAGTTTTCTATAAGGATTACCACCAAAAACCAAATGAAACAGTGAATGTAATATTGTTTTCAATTAAATTAGATTTGAATATATGTAAATGTAAAGTTTTTGTTTTACTTACGGCTTAATCAATCATGCTACGGTATGATCTAGATGCATTCATGAATATGAAGACAAAGCTCAGAATTCAATGTCAGTAAATACTGTGGTATTCTATAAATTTGCTTCAGTTATTCTGAATATTGACACGGACACACAACTCTAACCCTATTAATTCCGAGACTATAACCACTGAAATTTGTTGTAATTTATTATTAATATAAATTAATTTGTTCTTCTTCAATTTAATGGGCATAAATTAGTGCAATTAATAATTTGGTGCGATATAAATTTTTAAATATAATTAAGTGAAGCTTGTGGTTGCTAGTCGCTAACATTAATAAATGGCAACTCTTCAATTTTGAAGCATGTGCCTATTATTAGCAGGTGGCTCGTGAAGTTTTAATTAAGGAGAGAGGTTTTAATGATTTATTATAATTTTTTCTGTGTCACTCATAATCAAAATTTTTAACTGAGGATTGTCTTACTGATTAAACAATTCAATGTTTGTTAAATTTTTACCTACCTATTCGAGCAAAATGCGACGGGTTTTTATTTCTGTAGCTTTGTTAGGAAGTAATCGAATGAGCTTATAATAAGATTAATTTGTTTACAGTTTTCTAAGCGTCAACATAAATAATGAAGAGGACATTTTTCGATCCTTTAAATTAGGTTTATCCTGTTTTGTTGTTTAGTTGTCGTAGTTAACAAGCTAGCTACGTGTTTGTGATATAAATAAAAAAATAATGCAACTTGCATTAAATTTTTAAGTGGTGTTATTACTGGGAATTTTCGTAAAACAAAAAATAAATCACGTACCAATTTTTAAAAAAATTGGGTGTTTAGTATAGATTGTTTAGTAATTGACCCGAATTGTGGAACAGAAAACATTATTTATTTTAAAAATCATTGTTTTATCGCTGTTAATTCGCACAACTATACGCTAAAGAAGCCGTAAAATCTGGAATTCATATAAATGTGGTTTTATACCCAACCGCTACTGCCACTCCAAACAGTGAAATAACCATTCCACTCCGCATACATCAAATACCAACCATTCGCGATTTTCTAGGTCGTTGGCGACAGAACTTACCGCTACAAAGCTTTCTCGAGTCTGTCTTGTTGACGGTAGAGCTTTGTGTGGAGTTGAGGAGAGTATCAATGGAAAGTGTGTCGTCTGGTGGTCCATCAAGCGAACAAGAAAACCGTGATTCCCAAAATTCCCTAAACCATGGGTTACGGGTGTTGTTATGGGGCTTCAAAGACCAGTAATATTCGTCGAAAGATTTCACATATGGCGAATGAATTCTTATCGAAAGTGCGCCCCACGCCTCTTCTTCAAATCCGCGAGTTACGTCGCCTCTGTCGGCCCAACCATCACTGAAAATAATTTCAAATTTTTTGAACAATTTGCTGAATGGAATACGTTTGCAACAAAATACTTCCAGGATATTTAGATACGATAGAGAATATCGGTCCCTTGGCTGGGTAAAAGTTTTATTGCGAGATAAAGTCATATTCGCTATCATAAGTGCCAATATGATAGAAAAATTTATTATGACTGACTTTTTGAACCTTTAAACTGATATCTACAAAAATAATATGTATAATACAAGTGCTTTTAACATTTAGTTCCTTTTATTTCTTTCTGTGTAGAAGCGCTTGGTAACTTACATACAAAAATTAATTAATAATAATTAATGTAATTAAAATTGTGATTGATAAATAATAAAATGATAAGTTTAAATTTATGAATCCATATAGATAGCATTGCTTTATAACTTTTATTACATTATTTCAATATCAGTAACAGGACTGTTTGGCAGTTTTGAATTTAATAAATAAGAGTCCCAAGTGTAAAGTAAAAAATTTGGACAAAAGTTGTTTTTGCTTCCAGTCTGTTGACGATTGTGAAACAGTTCATTCAGTTTTATTTTCTTGAATTCGGGTGGAAAATTGAGAATGTGTGCTTAAAATAACTTCAGTATCATCATTTTGTCGGAAAATAGTCTATTAAATTATAAATAATAGGCATTTATATGTGGAAATGTAACAAGAGAGGGAAAAAAGTTTATTTTTTATTAAGAGGTTTTTTTGACATTTCATAAAATTTTATTACTGTGTATGAAAAGGGCACCACTTGTGCTTGAAGTTTTGATAAATTTACGTCATAGTGACGTCACCACTTATTTCAATATTGAAACTTACAATTCAAATCCTGTAATATGAGTTGAAGTTAAATATTTTCTCTCGTTTTGACGGAACGCACAACAATACAAAAGCACATTATACGAGTACACGGTGAAGATAACAAGCTATAAAACGAAAACGTGCTGTTTATATTTATTTCAATAAACACAATCAAGCAAACACATAAAACTTGTCATATTTATTAATTACGATTTACATCGAGTATACTCGATTTCGATAAATTCTCTCGATAGTTTGATCTTGGAATCTGAAGAAGGATATTTGATAAAATGTTT